GTCCTGTTCCGTCTGAATCGGAATTGCTCGTCGATGATTAGTTGGTGGTTTTCCAGGTGCTTGGTTATCCGTTTGTTTAGGATACGCGCTAGTACTTTCCCGAAAAAGTTCAGTGCCGAAATGGGTCGGTAGTTTTTTGGCTTGTTTTGGTCCTTGCTTGAACTCAAGGATCCTCTTGGCTAGTCTTCTGATGACACCCTGGTTCCTCGAGCCCATTAAGGCGAGCCCTGGGGTCGGGTAACTTGGCACTTTGTTCGCGACGTGCACTACTTCACGATAAATTCACATTGAAACTAAAACTTCGCACTTGGTTTCTCGTTAAGCATCGCGTATTGGCACTAGTCAACAATACCGTCAGACAGACTGAGAATCGCTTTGATATTTCTCTTAGACAAAAAACACGTTTACTCTGCGAGAGCTCAACTCGGAATAATCATTGTTTTGTTCCTTGACTTTATACCTATAAATGAGTTGAACCTATTGGTTTTAGAGCTACGCATCATTTTATTAAATTGTACTCGAGTACCCAAAATAATTTCTAACATGTACTTTCATTTGAATGATGATACGTATAAGATATCTAGGTATCCAAAACTGGAAATTTTTGAGTGCCTTGTCGGTTCTAGTTGTTAAGTATCCCAAATATCAAAATTACATCGCTCCCTGAAGGGATTCGCGCTCACTGGCATAAAATAAAATTAAACTGGTCTACTTTCCAGTCCCACCCCAAATCGCGCCTTTCGATTTCGGCGATCAACCCCTAAACGCTGGCGACTTTCTGCAAGTAATGTGTACGGCCAGAGAAGGAGACCTTCCAATTAAAATTCAATGGTTCCTAAACAACGAAAAATTGGAAGCTTTTCCGGAAGTTACTGTTTCGAAGGCTGGCAAAAGGGCCTCAACATTGTCCGTCGAATCAATCACACATGCGCATGTAGGTTTATATACCTGTGAGGCCAAAAATGAGGCTGGGATAGATGCGCTTAGTGCGGAATTAAAAGTGAATGGTCAGAATTAATTCATGTAGACGTTCCCTTCTCTTGCTTGTTACTTAATTTTTATTTATTTTAGTATTTCCTCAAATCCTCTACTATACCTTATAGATGCCCTCAATCGCTAGTTTTTGAAAAGATTAAATAGATTTTAAAATCACCAAAATACCAGACAGCTATGCATGTGTCCCATAGTTGGTTCATCATCCGATATTATTTTCTCTATTATTTAGTTTCCCTTGAAGTCCTTCCTATTCTTTGTTGGCTTTGAAAGTCCATCATGAAAAGGCAAATCAGTGCAGGCCAAGCCCAATGTTGTGTTCCCGACGGTGATTTTTTGACTATTAAACAATAAGTAAATGTCTACCATCAACATCTCAGTTTAGTATCAGTTGAGTAATGTGGTTCCATTATAATTATCTATCCAAACACGCGAAACATTGTTCTTACTAGCCAAGTGAAAAATAACGCTTCTGAGACTTTGTACTCGACTAAATTACAAGTAAACGGCTAATTTGGTTTGATTTTCTTTATTTTACTCTACTTTGCTCTAACACAATAGATACTTCTATCCCATGGATTCGCTGATCACCTGAAAATGGCCCCTTTTTTTGTACATAATGATTAATTATATGTTTTTTTTCTTTCTTCAAAAATCAGTACCACCAAGGATCACTCCGTTCTACTTTGAAGACAATCCAGTCCATGAAGGCCATTTTGCCCAAATTCAATGCTTAGTGTCTGAAGGCGATTTGCCATTAAAAATCAGTTGGACCTTGAACGGGCACTACATCGATAAATATAGTGAAATAACTGTGACAACTGTAGGAAAAAGAACGTCGTTGCTAACGTTGGAATCGGTCACTCATTCCGCAGCTGGAAATTATACATGTATGGCGAAAAATAGGGCGGCAGAAGATTCTTATGTGACCGAGCTGAAAGTTAATGGTTACTAGTTTTTATTTAAATAAACATTGCTTTCATTACTTTGGTACAGGCCAATTATCATAGGAAAAACTTAGCCTTGGCAGTTGGTGTACAGAATAGCCTGACACTCCAAATATGTATCTGTCGGACATTGAACAGTTTTTGTATGACATTAATGCATTTCAGAAATTTTCCTATGTCGAATGACCTGTATTGTTTTTTTTTTATAATGCCTCAACATAATATTTTCCGAGAAACCTTATCCAGCGCTACCAGAGTATCGTACTAAAGATTTTTACCTTTAAACTAATTGCTCCTTAGGAAGAACTTGCCCTATGAAAATGATTAGAAATTTTAATTCTGGCTTTGCGGCAAATATTGAAGATTTAAGAAAGTTACGTAAAATACAGGCGGGAATGGTTGAGAAGGTTTAAAAGATACATTAGACACAGGTTATCAGTTATAAATTGTCCACCCACTTAACTCCTTTGTTTTTGAAGCAAGAAAAATCTAATAGTCGTTTAATCTATACAGGGTGATCCAATTTTTCTGTTTTCTGTGCGTGTTTGCGTGAACGCCCTGCATAATTTTATTTTTTCTGATAGATCTTTTTATTTATACATGAAACATTGAAAAAATAAGTCTAGACTAAATGCATTCTCGCTGAAATTTCAGTATTTTCTGAAGCTGGTCCCTTCTTGTTTTTTTATTTATCTCCATTGTTCTTGTTCTTATTTTATCTTCGGAGTGCCTTTTTTTGGTTTTCTTTCTGTTTTCAGATTTCCGAATAGAAAATTAAGTAGTAAATGTTCTGGATTTTTTTCAAAAAACACGTTTGTGAACTTGTTTTTCGGTGTCAATCCAGTCAGTACAGTCACTGTTTCAGTGCAACAAGGGTTTATGTATTGTTCCTACTAATAAGCTCAAATATTTTGACACCAAAATATAGCGAGTTCCACGTTTCCATTAAAAACTCTCTTTATACAGCAACAACCTTTATACATTAATAATTATCTCGTGGAAACTGACTGCAACTTACCTACGTCCTTTTACACTATATAAAACCACTCAACCCAGGAATCTAGGATTCTCGTAAATGCTAGTTCATTCACAACATAAAAACGAATTTTTGTAAATTCCTGCACCGGGCGTGCAAACTGCCAACTTTTGCGCACCGATATAATTCCATAACAACTTTATTGCGCTGTTTACAAGAAATCTAGACCAAAATTAGTATTATAAATTTAGTCTAGGAAAATAGTCGAAAAATACATGTATTGCAAAAAAAAAATTCCTACCCAAATGAAATTTTCAGGGATGATAGGGGACGGGTGGGTGATCATAAAACCGAAAATATCAAACATTCACCCCTCTGGCGTTTTGCGCTCTAGGGGTTGAAAGTGGGCCATTGGCGATTACTTGGTACCTATTGATTTTACAAAAAAATGTTTCAAATAAAAGATGTGCAACATTATTTGATCTACAATGTTTATCTAAAGACTTTTTTGATTAAGGGCCGTCTGTGGTCATAATGGCCGTTTGAAATTTTATAATGAAAATGAAAAATTTTAACCAACGTGAAAAAATTTTTTACAACTCATACAACATTTTTGCTTTATGAAGTTTTTACTCACCCCCTGCCGTTTTTCAATAGGGGTAGTTTAAAGCTTTTTTATTTTTTTACAAAAAAATTTTCTTAATAAAAGTTTTATAAGATGACATTTCCTACAATTTTCCCTAATCAACTTTTTTTGTAACTCACCCCCATTCAGCGGGGGGACACTTCCCTCGGGGAAATTTTAGTTTTTAGGGGTATATATTAATTTTTTTTCTTTTTTCGCCTTTAGTGCATATAAAAAGTTGCAATTAACATTGTATTAAAAGGATTTTTTTTTCACCACCTTTTTGTTTTTAGGGGTAGTTCGCCTATTTTCAATTATACAAAAAAAAGTTATAGAAAAAAGTTGCTCAAAATAATAAAATGAACAAGTTTTCTTAGTAATTTTTTTTTGTAAAGTTGGAATTAGGCGAACTACCCCTAAAAACAAAAAGGTGGTGAAAAAAAAATCCTTTTAATACAATGTTAATTGCAACTTTTTATATGCACTAAAGGCGAGAAAAGAAAACAAAAATTAATATATACCCCTAAAAACTAAAATTTTCCCGAGGAAAGTGTTCCCCCGCTGAATGGGGGTGAGTTAAAAAAAAAGTTGATTAGGAAAAATTGTAGGAAATGTCATCTTATAACTTTTATTAAGAAAAATTTTTTGTAAAAAAATAAAAAAACTTTAAACTACCCCTATTGAAAAACGGCAGGGGGTGAGTAAAAACTTCATAAAGCAAAAATGTTGTATGTGTTGTAGAAAATTTTTTCGCGTTGGTTAAAATTTTTCATTTTCATTATAAAATTTCAAACTGCCCTTATGACCACAGACGGTCCTTAATCAAAAAAGTCTTTAGATAAACATTGTAGATCAAATAATGTTGCACATCTTTTATTTGAAATTTTTTTTTGTAAAATCAATAGGTACCAAGTAATCGCCAATGGCGCACTTTCAACCCCTATAGCGCAAAACGCCAGAGGGGTGAATGTTTGATTTTTTCAGTTTTATGATCGCCCACCCTCCCCCTATTATTCCTGAAAAGTTCTTTTGGGTAGGATTTTTTTTGTTGAAAATCGACAATTTTCCTAGACGCATCTTAGTGTAATTTGAAATATGTATACGAATACGTATTTTGTAGAGCAAGTTTGCAAACTTTCGTTAATTTTCTCAATTTTCACTCTTCTATAGCTATTTCGATTTGCAGAGGCTATATAAAAATAGCTTAAAAGACAATTTCTAGAATTTTTGCATCATGTCTCACAAAAATTAGGTATTTTGACTTTGAAATTGAAACTATCTTCCTAATCAAGGAACATTTCTTACAGTTGTAGTTGAAATTTTTGACAAAACAAAAAGTGAAAACTCTGAATATCCCTAGTGAGATCAATACAGTTACAAATACCGATCTAATATGCATACTCGCAAACCATCAACTAGAATCACGTGCATATTAAATTTTCTTTATTATTACTTATAGTGATACCACACGTGGTACCATTTAGCTTCGGCGAATCACCAATTCACGCCGGTAGTACCACGCAAATAACCTGTTTAGTCTCAGAAGGCGACCATCCGTTAAATATTACATGGAGTTTTAACAAACACCCAGTAAATGTCTATAGTAGCATAGGAACCATGAAAATTGGCACCAAAGCCAGTCTACTTCTCATCGATTCTGTAAACGAGGAAAATGCAGGGAACTACACCTGTCACGTGTCCAATGCTGCCGGCGCGGTCGCATACACTGTTGCTTTAGACGTCTACGGTTCGTGTGTCTTTTTTTCTTCTGTTTCTCGCTGATGGATATGCCAACATTGTTTTATTGTGACTAATAAAGCAGGACATTGGGCAAAGTACTCCTGAGTTCTTTATTTCGGAAATAACTCTTTTAAGTAGTTACATGATAACATTTGTAGAATTTAGAAACTCGTCAAGATAACGAGATTAGCTCCTATACTTATAGTTTTTTGAAAAGACTTCTCCAGTCGAAATTGTATGTTCTAAATATAAAATTTTGGACTATTACCAAATTTTTAAAAAAAATCACAGAAATTGTTTATTACATCCAGCTTTAAGTGTCTCGTTTAAAATACTCCTACTTCTTACTAGTCAAATCCTGTATTTGATAATTAGTCATTCATGAACTGTATAGAACTCTGAGTGTCCAATGAGTAATAATCCGACTATACAATTCACTCGCGAGTACTGACCCAGCTCTGCTAAGAATAATAACAATGTTCTTCAAATGCGATTATAAATAAATATTATTTTCTGCAGCACAAGTTTCTACTTTTGCACTGAGTGTTAACAAGCTGATTAATAATCATAATTTAAAAAAAAAAACATTCTCAGCAAATTTCCACTACCTTCAGTCTCATAAGCATTAGGCGCAAAATTGCATATTCGGTAACGTGTAAAAAATTTAGGAAAAACTGTGCAATTTTACGCCTGTGACTATGTGGCTTTATTCCTTGTTCTTGTCCTGTTTTTGCTGAGAACTAAAATAATAGGGTATCCCGTTATCCAAAAACTCCTTCCCAGCACTTTTTTTTTGTTTCACTTTTGAATGACCTTTTTGGCAGTAAGTTTTGAGGGTAATTTAATGATTGTCTACAACACAATACATTTTTGTACAATGTTAAAAAGGTCAATTTTGGGTGTCACTTTGCATGCTTGTTGCTTTTTTATGTTGTCACAATTTTCATGTTTTTTTTTTTGTTCAGATGTTACTAGAAATATAATTATGTTATTGGTATACACGGTGGCAGAAAAGTAGCCAACACTACATGTTACTTTTTATTAGTTTATTTTTTCATATAAAAATAATTAAGAAGTTATGGGTATATTACCTATAGGGATTAAGATATAATACCTACTTTCGTCCTGTGTTGTATATTGTATTTCTCGTTATTTCGGAAACAATATTGCCGAAATTGATTTGACAAGTTTGGAATGGAGGAAAAATGCTCAACAATAGAGTAGTGGACAAGGTATAATTTCAATGAAATCGATTACCCATTCTTTATCTATGAAGTAATTAAAAAATATTCGTATGGAAAGAAATTCCAGAAAAAATTACTAACTAGAGTTTTGGGACACACTATTTAAACAGAAATATTTTGCGCCTTGATTCTACGTCATAGCTGCTGTATTTGAGTATGAATTAAATTGGACATGTCCGACTTTCGACACAAACTTATTCATTAGTGAAAATGAGAGAGATATATTAGCGTCTGTCTTGTATCATTACATCTAGGCGCACCCTCAACTCAACCCCACTTTTTGAGAGATTTTCATTTGTCAATCAGAGCGGTCTGAGTTTATCTGCATCTTTTTCTAAAAGCACGTAAAATATAAGGACGCCCGGACCGCGCTCTCGCCACTCTTATTAGTGTCAGAATGCCATGACGCTATTGGACATAACAGCTATGACGTAATTTCCGGGCGGTAAATTATAGCGTTTAAAATAAGTACAAATTTGTTAATTTTTTTTAGGTATATTTTTGTTTTTTTAAATCAAAGAATCATTAACTATTATTTATTTTGTTATCAAGATTAATAGCAAAAATATTTTAAAAAATTGTCCACTACCCTATTGGCGTGAAGCTGAATTCTTTTTTGCACAGATAAAAGAACAACTGAAATTTCAAATAAATAATCGATTTAGTAAGATCTGAACATTAAAATTCATTCATCTTTAGTGCATGTCTTTATAATGGGAAAATTTTTAAATGGATCACAAAAGTCATCTCTAGAAACAACAATACATAGGTATAACTAATCACAAAAAAAAAATGTTCCGCTGTCAATTATGACACTAAAGATGAAATCTGTGATTCCACTTGCCTTTTTATAGCACATGAAAATTTCTCACAAATTACTACAATTCTTTGTAGCATTATATTTTTGTCATTTAAATGATTAACTAACTTATTAGAAGTTTTCCCATTATGATTTTTCTTGTATAAATTGCATGCCTTCAAAGCTTAGTTCATAAATGGGTTTTGTACAATTATTGTACTACTTGAAATTTGGAAGCGATGCAACTTTTGTTAGACCCTTTATAGAATGTTCGACAATGAATTGAATCTTTGAAATTCTTTGTAAACCCTGAAAATCTGAACTATCTATGAAGCGACTTGATGAATTTGCCGACCTTTGAAAATATTTATTATGAACTAAGCTTTGGAATCAGCTTCCAGTTTAAAGAGCAGCCACATATTTAACCAAATATCACTTTTAGTTCCACCAAGATGGATATTGGAACCCACCGACAAAGCATTCGCTCAAGGGTCTGACGCGGCCGTTGAATGCAAGGCGGACGGATTTCCCAAGCCTGTTGTCACATGGAAAAGGGCTACTGGTAAGTTCATTTTGTTGGTTTGATAGTGACTCAAAAAAACAAATATTTTGAAAGATCTATAATTCCATTCTTAATACATTGGGAATCCTAAAACTTGAAAAAATATTATTTCTGCATGTAAATTTTTCTACTAATTAATCTAATTATTACTGTCGTGTATTCCAGGGGTTTCTCCAGGCGATTACAAAGATTTTAAACCAAATAATCCTGACGTGAGAGTCGAAGATGGTACTCTTATGATCAATAATATTCAAAAAACAAACGAAGGGTATTATTTGTGTGAAGCTGTTAATGGAATTGGTTCTGGATTATCTGCCGTTGTTTTAATTAGCGTTCAAGGTAAGATAATGTTATTTGCACAAATAAGCTTTGCCACATAGTCCAAGTGTTCTTTTGTGTGTGAAAACACATCACTCAACACTTCTTATTTCCTTTAATATTATGTTTTGCTATGGTTAAAGTTTAAAAAAGGTGATGGAACAGACCAGAAATCAATCTGTAATGTTTATCTGTTATGAAAATATTCTAAGTCAAAACAAATAGCGGAAGGTGATCACTGAGCTGCAGCTGGATGGCTTTCAGCTGATTTTTTTTTAGGAGACGTCGATGTCATCCCCGAATAAGCCAGGAACCAGGTTATCCACCTGCACCTCAATGATCACGTTTCACTGTGCGTTTTGATTCAGCCTATTTTCAAAACGAATGGACATTAGATAGTTTGCATCAATTCGTTGTCATAACAAAGTTATTCAACATTAAAATTTGAAGCAAATCACCATTTTTGGACTCTATTTTTACTAATTATTTGTAGAAATATGATAATATGTGGCCCATTATTGATAGAAATTCACATCTAGCAATTTTTTATAAAATACTCTCACATGGATATTTAATTTTATCCTGCATTATTCATTTGGCAAGATGTATTTCAGCTCCACCCCAATTCGAAGTGAAATTCCGTAACCAAACCTCTAGACGTGGCGATCCCGCAGTGTTGCAATGCGAGGCCAAAGGGGAGAAACCCATCGGTATTCTGTGGAATATTAACAATAAACGTTTAGAACCCAAAGGAGATAACCGATATACTATACGAGAGGAAATTTTACCTAATGGTGTTCTATCTGATTTAAGTATCAAAAGGTAAGTTCCTAAACATTACTCAAGTTTTTCTTCGAGTGGTATATGTCAAGTCTATATACCGAGATAGTTTTTGTATTTTCTAGTATATTTGTTCAGAATTTTTATTTTAAACTGCAGGTAGAGCGGGATATATTTGTTGCAAAGTCGCTAGGTGGAAAATATTCAGGTTCTGATTCTTCCAAAACTCGTATTTAATTGCATAGAAATGACTTGATGTATTTATAGTCAGCATTATCTCATACCCATCCAAATTGTGGAACAGAAACTCTCAACTAACTAAAACAATGAAAGTGTACAACAGACATTTGTTTGAATACTGTTGAATTCCTACTTACCCAAAAACAAAGTTTTAAACTGTTTATTGCAGCAAATTGGTCAGAGTTTATTCAAAACTTTTTGTTAAAGGACTGAGCGATCTGACTCAGCAATCTTCACTTGCTTGGCCACAAACGCTTTTGGAAGCGATGATACCAACATTAATATGATTGTCCAGGAAGTGCCTGAAGTGCCCTACGGATTGAAAGTTTTGGATAAATCTGGCAAAACCGTGCAACTGTCTTGGGTTTCGCCCTATGATGGAAATTCACCAATTAAGAAGTAAGTTATTTTCTACCACTCTATTATCAACATTCATTTTCACTTTTAATGATAGAGTAGCTTCATTCCATCACTAGTAATAGAATGCTGGTTATTCTATAGTCTGTAGATAAATTTTTTTTCTGCTCAGGTATATAATCGAATACAAACCAAGCAAAGCAAACTGGGAAAAGAACTCTGAGCGCGTACTGATCCCGGGCGACCAAACAGAAGCTGGCATTTTCACATTACGTCCAGCAACCACCTACCATATTCGTATTGTAGCCGAAAATGAAATTGGATCTTCAGATCCGTCCGACACTGTTACTATTATTACTGCTGAAGAAGTACCAAGTAAGTTAAGAGCATCATAAATAATTTAATTCCGAACCACACAGGATATCAGGAGAACGATGATAATTCAAAATATGACTGACACGAACACATCTTTGCTTAAAATTTACTAATACTCAATCGCTCAAGATAAAGACAAGAAGGTAATCTGGGCAGTATTGCCAAATGTCATCAAAGAATAGATCTGATACATACACAGAAAAAGAAAACATTCATATATTTTAGTCTTTTGAATATTTTTTTTTTGTATAGGTGGTCCACCAACGGATCTTAGGGTGGAAGCTGAAGATCAGCACACATTGATCGTTTATTGGAAACCACCTTTAAAAGACCATTGGAACGGCGACATTCAGGGTTATTATGTCGGCTACAAACTGGCCAATACTGATAAGCCTTACTTATTTGAAACTGTTGAGTTTCCGAGGGAGGAAGAAGGAAAAGAGCACCATCTTAAGGTGAGTTTGGGAAAATCTTTATCTCTATTAACGATAAAGGATGTATTAAATTTTATCTCGGATTCTATAAAGTAGGTATGTATTCTAATCTATAAATACCAAAAACAGCAAAAACATTCTGAAGGTGTTATCTTATTCTATGTATGTTACTTTATGAATGAAAAAGGCAAAACTTTTTAGGCAACTGAAAAAACTAAATTATATAAATTTTGTGCGCTACATATTTATTCGTTATCTTTTGTGTTTTTACTAGGTCACCAATTTGAAAACCTACACCCAATATTCGTTGGTAGTTCAGGCGTTCAATAAAATCGGTGCCGGTCCCACTTCTGAGGAATTTAAAGCGAATACCGCTGAAGGAGTACCTGAACAACCACCAGACAAGGCCACTTGCACTACTCTGACTGCTCAGACTATCCGAGTTTCCTGGGTGTCACCCCCATTGACTTCTGCTAATGGTGTCATTAAAGGCTACAAGGTTATCTATGGGCCATCCGACACTTGGTTTGGTAAGTAATGAAGCTAAGTCCATTTTATAGAGTCAGATTTGGGCAACGTTCTCACTTGATGACTTGAACCTGAAAACTACACCGTGCAAACAATCTGCATTGCTATGATTTGTGATTGTTTCATAGTCCAGAATCAGGTTTTAGCCAGTCAAAAGAGAAAAAACAACAAATTTCAAACTTTTTGAAAAATGTTTAATTCAAAAATTGCCTTAGGGATTTTTGGCTCAAGTACTTCAGGCATTAACCGTTCCTATAGAACAGAAGTACCCAGTCACATTGTAGTGTAATAGGTACCCAATTCTGAATCTATCTAGCCCTAGTATGTAAATAAAACTTCTGTGACATTTATTAGTGGCAATGCTATAACTGTGTATTATTTTTCAGATGAGAAAACCAAGGACACAAAAATTACTGCTTCAAGTGAGACAATCCTACATGGCCTAAAAAAATACACAAATTACAGCATGGAAGTGTTGGCTTATACTTCAGGCGGGGATGGTGTTAGGACCACGCCTATCGCTTGTCAAACTGAACAAGACGGTAAGTGAATAGTTTCTTGTCATATTTTTCATTGTCTGCCCAATTGTCTGACGTAGTGAGCGTGAAACACAAAAACACAATCCCATTCCAAGATAATCTAAATGTTTATTTTTGTTTAGATTAAATAAATAATTATAATTATTCCATGTCTAGTTCCGGAGATGCCTACCGCAGTCAAGGCCCTAGTGATGTCCTCAGACGCGATTTTAGTCAGCTGGAAACCACCTACTGAGCCCAACGGGATCATTGAATACTACATGGTCTACTATAAAGTCGCCGGCAGTGAGGATAAGCCAAAATCGCAAAAAATCGTGCCCAACATCCGCAACCAAAACTTGAGTTTTCAGGCAAAAGGTTTGGACAGTAATTTCAAGTACGAGTTTTGGGTTACAGCTGCTACAAATATTGGTGAAGGACAGCCGTCGAAGAATGTTAGTGTGTCGCCAAGTACCAGTGGTTAGTAGATAATTAAAAATACCTACATATGACAAAAATTATTTATAATTTTTTTGCTGTGCAGTAAACGTATTTGAACAAAATCCGATAATGTTGAGCCGTTTTGCATACATTTGCGCTTCTCGCACTTTAACAAGTTATCACATGACTTACTTATATATATTTTTAGTTCCCGCTAAAACAGCATCATTTGATGACAGTTTCACTACCACTTACAAAGAAGACGTCACTCTTCCATGCTTGGCAGTTGGTGTACCACCTCCCCAGATCACTTGGAGCATTAAAGGTAACTGATACCATCATCATTCTACCATTTGTAGTTGAACGCATGCGCCAAAATACTATTCAAAACATGAAATTACGCAAACTAAATATTTATCTCGTCTTAAGTGCCTATTACTGTTTTGTTCCAGGAGCTAAATTCAATCCAAATACAAACGATCGTGTTCGCCAACAGCCTGATGGCTCACTGTTTATTCGCGATGTCACTCGTACTGATGCAGGTGAATATTCCTGCAAAGTTGAAAACGATTTTGGACAGGACTCAGTTACGCATCAGTTGATTGTAAATGCTCCACCTAGAGCACCACAGGTATTTATAATTTATTTGAGTATGCCAAAAAGACATAGTTTCCCTACACTAGCTATGGTGCTGCCAAGATGATGATGAGCTAGGAAAGATATTTCCTTATTGAAAATTCATTTCCAGGTTTCTTTGACTTCTACAACTACAAATTCATTGACCATAAAAATCAAACCCCACGATTCTGACGGGGAACAAGTGCATGGCTACACCATCCACTACAAACCCGAGTTTGGCGAATGGGAGAATGTTCAAGTTGGACCCGCCACTGACAAGTTCACCTTGGAAAAACTTTTGTGTGGTACCCGCTATCAACTTTATGTTACTGCTTATAACAGGTTTGTTGCTACATGAACTGTCCCAATTCCTATAATAATAATATAAATGCTATAATTAGATGTTGCAACATCCGTATGTGCAAAAAAATATAATAGAAAAGTTATTTGGCAGAATAAACGATTCAATTTTTTTCCTATTATTTTCTACAATAAACATTCTTCAGTTTTGATTATCATTTTAGTTTAGAACTACTCACGAGTACGATATCACATAACTATATTTTTGCAGCATCGGAACCGGCGACCCATCCGACAATCTTAATCCAAAAACGCGAGGCGAAAAACCAGTGATACCCAGCGCAGATCAATTCATTGAAGTCAAATCCAACAGTATCACTTTGCATTTAGGAGCGTGGTCCGACGGCGGTTGTCCAATGTTGTATTTTGTTATTGAACACAAAAAAAAGTAAGAATCTTTATTCCAGGATAATAAAGTATAAATAGATTGTTCTTCAATATTAAGCATATGCATATTTCTAAAACATAAATAAATTCTTCCAGGACCAGTGCAGAATGGATCCAAGTGTCAAACAACGTGAAACCAGGCCAAAACTTTATCTTGCTCGATTTGGATCCTGCGGTTTGGTATCATCTAAGAGTCACTGCTCACAATAACGCCGGCTTCAGTGTGGCCGAATACGAATTCGCCACTTTGACTGTGACTGGTGGTAAGATTTTTAATTTTTTTGTCTTTGTATAGGGTGTCCCATTTAGGTTGTACATACGGGATACCTCTGTTGCCATTGAAGTTTTCACGTTTTCAATTACTGCCAAGATAGCTGAGATACAAGAGGTGTCTCAAAATGCAACATTCTCGAAAACGCCTTGTATCTTAAAAACGATAAGCGTGACAATAATTCTGTCGACCGCATCTTTGGTCAAACGAAAAAGTATCGCGAAAACCGCATCATTCTAACTTCATTAACAACCGAGCTATCCCGTTTAGTTAACCAAAATGAGAAACCATGACTGTTGAATTCGCGTGAGGTGATGCATAATATTATATTTAAACGGTTTAAACATCAGTTAATGAGTTGTTCCCGCAGCTTTTCCGCTTCACTCGAAATCAACAAAATGCGTATGTAATATTTATTTTTCATTTTTGTCATGCATCTTTTTTTGTTTTTGCTTGCTCTTCTGTGTGTGTTGCTTTTTTTCAATAAGAAAAAGAACTTTACTGTTGTTAAATAACAAGGATTTCTTTAGGATGGATTTCATAATTCAAAACAATTTTGTTTTTGATGTGCAGGATTTTCAACTAACACTTTGTATTTATAATAAGTACCTTTTTTGCAAAAATGATCAAATAGCCAACAAAATTATCCACAATTTCTGAAAAGTTTTGTTATTGAAAATGTATGCTTGACACATATGTAACTCATTGAAATCCTAAACTACCCACAATACATAATATACATATGACGTAGTATAATAATTGTGTTTCTTTTTCTTATTGTATGTTAAAACATTGTTTTTTTTTTTGTTTTGTGATGTTTATGTATAGCTTTTTGAAAAAGACCAAACCTCACCAAATCATCATTTGTACAAATTTTTGTTTTAACTCCAATCATAAAAAGCTTTAACATTTTCTTGCTTGTTGATCAAACTTGGGCAAATTACATTGACAAAACCAGTGTGGCACAAATGCAATGAGTGGGTATTATATGGACCAATTTCGATAAGCCTATGTTTCGCCTTATGTGAAACTGTTGCAATTTTGAATATTGTTCTGCTATTTTTTGTGAGGAGTGTATTGAGACTCCCCAGTGTCATGCCAACAAGTGCCACACTTTTTTGCCATAGAAATTTCCTAGTATTCACTTTACAGCAATAGTACCTGAATATAATACATGGATCTACAAATAACTTTTTCTCTATTTCTCGGCACTTTTTCTGTACATTTAATTAACACCACATAAAATCTACGCTCTCTTTTTAAATAAAAATAGAAAAAAATCATATATCAGTGCTGTGTATAACTTATGATTTACCTTCCTTGGGTCCGTTATTGTTTTCATCTTTTTAATTTATGGATTTCGTGTTTCTTTGTCTGTTATTCACCTTGGCTACCACTCTATTCTCTCTGAATATCGTTGCGCAGGTTCAAAGTTGCCTGTATTTTGAACAAGAAATCTCTTGTCTATATTTGTGTTACAGAGACCCTATCGATCTTGTGTCTGTCACTTATATATCTTAGAAGCCAAGGGACATTAGTCGACTAGAACGTACCATTACCAAAACTGTTGACATACGAATGACACCAATTGCCTAAAAAAATTAATACTTTGTTTTTCAATCACATGAATCACAACTAATATGATGGGTTTCACCAGTAGTTTTGCGTGTTGTAGTAGTGCTAGTGTTATTGTGACTTTTGTCTCAATTGAACAATACGTTTATAATAAATTCACATAATAAAATGTCTAATCATTTGAAAAGGATAGTATAACATAACAAATACTACATTGGTATTATTTTGATTTTTATTAATTTTTTTTATTTGCATTATTCTCTTTTCAAGCATTCTTGCTTACATAGTAATAAAGATTGGTAAAGTTACATGTCCTTTGTAGACTTTCAACGGTTAAATGTGAGCCATAGAATGCATGGGAATATAATTATTAATATATTTATGCATAGAGCTTTAGAAATTTGTGATTAGAGAAAATGTGAATCAATAATAATTTAAAATTCGATAAGTAGTTAATATTTTTTGGCAAAGCATCATGTTTATCATATCAGTGAAAAAAACTGGGCAATTTAAAATAATAAATGTACTGGTAAATGCATCCAAAGTTATACATTAATTTTTCAATATTAGCATTTTGCCGGTCTCCTGAAACGCTACCACACGACATGACAAACATTGTGTCCAACGTTTGAGCAAACGTTAAGGCATGTGAACATTCGTGCATGAAATCTAACACGATTGGAATTGGTTTGGACAACGTTGGTAGTGTTGTGAATGCCAACGTGTACCAATGTTTGCTCCAGTCTTCTAGACTTTATTTCAAATAGGCTACAGACAATAATTCCATTTTGCAAAAAGTATTTATGCACGAGATAATGTACTGAGTATTTTTTTCATGCCTTTCCATCTTTTTCAAATATTTCTCGACCCTTCTCATTTTATTAGGCTCTATTAATGCTATGATATTTTTAGTAAATACTTCAAGAAATCATAGTTTGCCTGAATTTATTGGTAAATCCCTTTATACAAACAAAATTTTTCAAATTTCAAATCAAAATGAATCGGCGCACTGAGTCAAATTTGAATAAAAACCATATCAATGAAAATCAACAACAGAGCATTTATTTGTTTTTGAATTCAATACTAGTGGTTGAATGTTGCCCGGCATCTTTAATTGAATATATTGCAATCTATTATGGAATAAGAGCCTACGTAAATACCTAGCCTGCTGAGAACACCCCCAATGTGTTTTGCTTTCAGGTACTATTGCCCCAGCCCGTGAAATTCCCAAAGAGGACACCCTTCAAATAATCCTCGCCAACCTAAACCTAGTAGTACCCGTAGTGGCTGCAGTACTCGTCATTATCGTTGCGATAATTGTGATTTGCGTGTTGCGCGGCAAAGGCAACTACAATAACAAAGGTAACTAAAAATATGTGTTTGTTTTGTTTTGATTCGTTACAGGCACGATTGCGCCGGCTCGGGACTTGCCCGGCAGTGTTCGAATGCTGTTCCCGTGGGTGCCAGACTGGGTCGAGTGGAACATCGCTGTGCCAGTGGCTGCTACTGTGGTGGTGGTTGTTGTGGGTATTGTGGTCGTTTGCGTGGCTTTGACCCGGAAGGCACACGGGCCATTGCAGACCAGACTGCATAGCGATTGTATGTGTATGGACCAATTTTCATCTTTTTCTGTTAATTTTTTTTGTATTACTTATTACATCTTATTATTATTTTATTTATTTATTATAGCAATAATGATAATTTTCTACTGATTAGATCGAATTTCGCGAGCGAATGGCTGCATTTATAAAGCTACAGCAATTCAAATGCAAATTCTTTAGAAAAAAACAAGAAGCAGAGAGTTCTATTTTCCATAAATTTTCGAATATATACAGTGTGTGCACTTAAGTTCGCAGCATATGGGAAACTTTTTTATTATCAATTTTACGAAAAAAAGTTATTCTTTATAAAAGTTTCTGCTTCTTGAAAAAATACTATTAAACTATTGAAACTTGAAATAGCACGTAGGTACAGGAAGGTCAAAAATTAAAAAATATACAGGGTGTTTCTGAAGTACGGTTTGTAATTTCAGGATGTGATTTCTTACAATATTTTTTAAAAAAAATCACCCTGTACATGCTATTGCAAGTTTTAATAGTTTAATAGTATTTTTTCAAGAAGCAAAAACTTTTATAAAGAATAACTTTTCTTCGTAAAATTGATAATAAAAAAGTTTCCCATATGCTGTGAACTTAAATGGACACACTGTTTTTTTTTTTCACTACTACCGAAATCTGTTCTGTTTAACTCGCAAATCGGGTGGTTAGTTGTTTAAAATTATTTTATCTACGGAAGTAGGTAGTAATTGGGAAAATTTTTACCGAAATTTGGGTGTGGCTCCGAAGTTTTCTTGTGCCTTTGCGACTCCCTTCCTAGCTCCATCGTACCTGATAAAATTTCCAATCAGAGACTTTGGCAGTTTGCCGAATTGATCTCCTGTCAGGTCTCTGACTGGTTTGTATTTCGAATATTCCATCATTAATAATAGTGAATTTAAGTAAATTTGTTTCCTCGGGTTTCTTTTTTGGCCTACATTTTGTCGCCATTTTATTACTTTTTATTTGAGTCATCCTTATTCATTCTTTTTTTCATTATGCCAGCAACAAATGTGGTCAGATTACTTTCATATCAGTCAGAGGCGGATATGTTCAGGCAGAACACCGACACAATTTCCTATCTGTCCATATGCCAAGCACAAAAATAAATAATTAAAATTGCCTTTTTTCAAAACAAATATTTTTTTATGTGAATATTGCATAATCTTTGACAGCCTTTCAATGTAATTTCTAGTCATGAGCGGCTGTCAATAACCACAGATAGACGGAGCATGTTTATAGGCAAAAGAAGGCACAGAGCAGCGCGGGTGGACGATAGGGGGAATATAGCCAAACATTAACTATTTATGCTAAGACCAGTGGCCAGAGTAAGACTGAAAGCAAACTAAAAAGTCGTCATAACAAAATCTTCTTTGTGGCTCCGTCTATTTGTGGTACTAGGTTATTCATTGCTACAGACAAAATAATGCATTCATGCTAAAAAAGTTTTATAGCGATTGTCGATTTTCTCTTCCCAGCACTCAGCAGAGACAAAAATCAAACAGATTATACTAGAATAAGAATGCTTTTAGATTTGGTTTTTGTCTATGAAAACTAAAAATAATATATTAGGTAAAGGCCATTTGGCAAGTGAAAAAAAAATCATAGAGTATAACTCAAAGGCCTCTTAGGTGGTGCAAACAGATGGAAAGTTTGTCTCGGGTCACCTTGAAGCTACCGATCCGCCCATGACAGAAATAATTATTAACACAATTATGTTCTCTGTTTCCATAGACGACGTCGTCTACAATCAATCATGCAACGCAGCTTCAACGTTGGACAAACGTCGCCCAGATTTGCGCGATGAGTTAGGCTACATTGCGCCGCCCAACAGAAAACTGCCACCAGTACCTGGTTCCAATTACAACACTTGTGATAGAATCAAAAGAGGTACCGCTTTAAGTAAGATCATATTCATCGCTTTTTTTTTTATCCTACAGCATGCGAAATTTTTTTGTTTTGTATCATTTTGTTTGATGTTAATGCAAATATCTCCGTTTTTGCTCAATTATGGAACCTCATACTTATAGGTCAAAAATGTAATTTTGCTAAAATTTCTAATCGTGAGTATGCAAATTTTTTCTTGTTGTGGGTTCAGACAGAATAAAGTTGCTGGCTGGAAGCATTAGTTACAGATTTTACTTATTTCCATTAATAAATTAAGTGAAACTATATGTATTAAACTCTAATGCATATACATATATTATTTGAATTGTTCATAAATATACATATGTATAATATACAGTATGTCTGCTGATTTTGAAATGTTTTCTTTTTCAATTAAAAGACTAAAGCACTTACGTTTTCCACTTTCATATTTTTCATTCGCAAAGAAATGGAACCCGAACTGAGATGCTGACAGATTTTACGCGAAAAGTCAACCTATTTGGTTTCATAACGTCACCAACATTGACAGCTGGTCAGCGTTAGTTGGTCGTTGACGTGGACCAGCTGTTTTCAGTTATTCTCGTTCTTATTTACGATTATGTTTGTCCTTTGGCTATTTTTAAGTTTAGAATACATACTTTGCTTAGGAAGATGTAAGTCTAGAATGCGGACGACAAGTCATACATTAGCATCAATGCACAAAATCTGGCTTCAAATGAAAAACCGACAACATCTGTCAATAGTCAGGTTTACTTGAAAATTGTTATTCCCAAACTTCAAGCTACTTAATTGCGTTTTTGGCGACATACTGTATACCTACGTAACTAATAGTTCCACTCCCGAACTCCATAATAATATGTACAAAAATGCATGCTTTGAATAACATCCCTTATTAGTTTTATGTTTTTGTTAAATTTGCCTGAAAACAAAAAGAGCCAAAAAGGACGCACGCCCAAGAAACGGCCCTGTATTTCTGTTGTTTTTTTTTTTTTCCTTATTTGTTTTTTTTTAATTCGATCAAATTTAGGGGCACATTATCGCTCTCATTCCACTTGGGACCCACGAGCACGGCACTTGTATGAAGAATTAAGGAGTAGGCGCGGATCGAACGAGACTGTTCATACTCATAGAGGTAAACACACTGACACGGTTTATTTTATATTTTTTTTTTTTTTTAACAGATTTGCGTAAATTGCACAGTGTAGTCATAAAAGTTTCCTCATCTTTTTTTAATTTCTGACACATCAAATTGGTCAACAAAAAGCTGTCTGCTACTTTTTGATGTAAAAAAAAAATAGTTTCTACTTTGAAGATGGAGCTAGAGTATATAGGTACCCTATTTCAAAACGGCTGCCATTTTAAAAAGTTTTAACTGTACATTTTTTTTGTCTAAAAGTAGCACACATCGTTCTGGTATTTGGATCTAATTTTTTTCCAAAATAAGAGGTCTAGTTTCACTCAAGGCCAGTCTGACTGTTTAGTGCAAGTCAACGAAAAATAGTTCTTTAAACCTTTTTAACTAATTGAATTTACGATAGAAGAAGGACTTTTCATTTATACCACTATATATTTACTCAGATTTTCTATACAAACAAATTAATTAGTAGTTCATATTAATATCATACAAACTTAGAGATGGTTTTATTTTCACATGAATTAATTTTTCACCTAATTTGGTTTTCTATCATTACAAGTAACATTTATATGTTTGAATTTTTATTTGCAACTACAAAAATATTGTCAACTACTTGAGTAAATACCACTCTGTACATCAATTTTACTAAAGTGTGTCGACGAGTCAGTTTGGTATAAATACAGCGCCGAAATCCATTTCCGGTAGACCAAAGCTAGTGCGAACTACCTCTAATGGGAAAAGCCCCTCTAGCTGTCTCCTCTCAGTGCAAACTACCTTTAATGGGAAACACCCTTCTGTATTGAACGCCGCAGACTAGGTCCAGTGCAAACTACCTGTAATGGGAAACGTCCTTCTGGACCTGTCTCAAACCTAGTTTCAGTCTTCAGTCACGCCAAGTATACAGAGGGTACATAATTTTTACACAGTGGCCCATAAGTAGTACGTCCCTCCATAGAAGAGACGTCATGATATCATTTCTAGGGTAATACTATTATTAATCAATACACATCTTATTATACCAATACCAAGCGAGTTTCTCTCTACCTGAACCCCACCTACGCCCCCAAGTCACGCTCCTGTTGTGACGTCCCAGGACGAAACATATAGGGGTTGTGACATATTTGGTGGAGGCGCCGTTTGGACATCTAGGCACCCAGGACCCAGAAACAGTAGTACAGAAGAAATAGCGCAGAATCTTGACGTCACCATATTGGGAAAAAAAAACAGGGCTCAAAATAAAATATACATATAATTATAAACAAATTTTAGTGACCCAGATAATTAGAAGCAGACACGGATATGCTGACGACGAATTGTTTATAAAACTAGGTCACTAAGCAAAAATCACATTGTCGGCAAGCAGCAAAAGATTCCTGATATAGTGGCGAAGGCGTTTCTAATTAAACCAATTTTTTTGTTGGTTTCTCCATTTTTGACGAGACGTACCATTGAAGTTTCTTAGCAAAGGCACTGGTGAAAGAATCCTACAGCACCTAAAAAAAACAAAATATTAGCATTTTTTGTTACGAATGTCCGAAGATGAGCCTAAGAAGTATAATCTAAGATCATTAAGGACAGGGGCATCACCGTTCAGGCCAAAACACAGAAGCACGGAAATCAGGAAAGAAATCGTCCAAGCAACACAGAGGACACCTTTTTGTCTTGAAACTATAACTAGTATAAGCAGAGGAGGTTCCCTATTGGACCTTACCCTTCAAGAGCCGCTAGTCAACCAACTGCCAGAAGTTGCAAATCAAGAACGGAAAACAAGCCCTGTGCGAGAAACTAGCCCTGAAAGACCGAGATCTACCACACCAACGCGAACAATGGCCAATATAACAATTAGTGATGCAATGTTAACGGCAAAAAAGGCGAAGGTACCAAAGTTCATCCATCCCCCAACCTTCCACTCATGCAAATCCAGGGCCACAGAATTTTTAAGGACCTATGAAAGAACGGCTATAGCCAACGGATGGGACGATAAGTTAAAAATTGCATATTTTGAAACTTTCCTAGACGGAGCAGCCAACCTGTGGTTCCAACAATATAAACAGGAGAACGATGATCATGGATGGAAAGAGATCACGGAGAACTTCACAAAAGAATTTGAAGATGTAGATTACCAGAGGAACCTAAAAAAGAAAGTGGAAAGCAGAAAACAAGGAACAAATGAAACGGTAAAGGAGTACCTTTTTGAGCTACTGGTACTGTACCACGATTATAAGGAAAAAATTGATATTGAGGAGTTTACAACAATTTTTAGCGAAGAATTAACAGAAGAAAGCTTCTCCCACTATTATTGGCTTACGAATTCACCCAATAACCCTCCGCAGACACTGGATAAGATAAAAGAAATCGCAGGGTCAATAGATAGAGCGCCAAAGAAAAAAGAACATAGAGCCTCACCGGCAAACGAAACTCCAGAGACAAATACACCGCCAAGAAGGTATAACAGTAATTTTCGGGCACGACCACATCACTGCCGATTGCCGCAAGGACAAAACTGTTATAAATGTGGTAAATTAGGTCATGTTGCAGTGGTTTGCAGAAGCCCACAACAAATAGCTGAATATCGAACAAACCCAACATGTTTCAATTGTGGCTAAATAGGGCATGTTGCGAAAGCATGTAGAAGTACACCACAACAGTCAAGTAATTACAACAATCCTGTTCCTGTATGCCAAAATTGTGGAAAAAAGGGACACATAGCAACAGTGAGTAGGGGCCAACCACAGAGGGCCTAATACTATTCGGTACGGAGCAACCGGAACAGTCCTGTATGCTACAACTGTGGAACCAACGGCAACACCCAAACGGCAAGGGATGGCAAAACTAAAACCCCCAACCATCCTAACCTTAGGGGAAGAAAGTAAAATAGGAATTCATCACATCGCGATTAAAATCAATGCAAGAATGATGCAGGCAATAATTGACACAGGAGCCCAGGATAATGTATTACATACAGGGAGAAATATCAGAAAATAATAATACGGTCCTAGTTACTGCAGGAGGACACAAGATAAAAGTTTTAGGAGACACTAAAATCCGAATAAGAATACCAAGAAGTCCAATGTGGAATGGGACACTGAATTCCAAAGTTATTTCATCTCTAACACAACCTATTATCTTAGGAATGGAGTTTTTATTAAAAAATAAGGCAATTATAGATATCCCACGCAAAGAACTAATTTTAAATAGGAAACACAGAATACCCTTAAGGCAACAACAAACAACAACGAAAAAAGACTTATGACGAGCCTAGTTTCAACAAAACAGCCGGTCAAAGAGAAGCAGCCCTCTGATTCGAAAATAGATGAACTGGAGTTCAACAAATTCATAAAAGGCCACACTAACATAACAACCGACCAGGTCAACGGCTTCCTAAAGAAAGAAAATGAAAATATAGGCACCCTACCAACTAATGCCTTTTTAGGATTAGGTGTAACGGACCATAGGAGAGTTAGCGATAACAAAACATGTCACAACCCCTATACGTTTCGTCCCGGAACGTCACAACAGGAGCGTGACTTGGGGGCGTAGGTGGGGTTCAGGTAGAGAGAAACTCGCTTGGTATAGGTATAATAAGATGTGTATTGATTAATAATAGTATTATCCTAGAAATGGTATCATGACGTCTCTTCTATGGAGGGACGTACTACTTATGGGCCACTGTGTAAAAATTATGTACCCTCTGTACACTTGGCGTGATTGAAGACTGAAACTAGGTTTGAGACAGGTCCAGAAGGGCGTTTTCCATTAAAGGTAGTTTGCGCTGGACCTAGTCTGCTGCGTTCAATACTCCCAGAGTGGCGTTTCCCATTAAAGGTAGTTTGCACTGGGAGGAGACTTAGCTAGAAGGGCTTTTCCCTTGAGGTAGTTCGCACTAGCCTTAGTCTGCCGGTAATGGATTTTGGCGCTGTATTTATACCAAATAAATGCTGACTCGTCGACACACTTTAGTAAAATTGATGTACAGAGTGGTATTTACTTAAGTAGTTGACAATATTGTTAAACTAAAATTAAGTATATACTATGAACTAGTTCCTTCTCATTTAAATATCAAACTAAAATTGGCGTCACAAGGAAAGTTTATAGATGGGATATCTGTAGACTTTGATAAAGCGATGAAGAGTAAATACATAAGTTAGGCGGTTTAGGTGGAACATCCTAAATACTTCAGAAAATACATATTTTTGTTTAATGAAGTAAAAATTGATTTTTATTTTGGCAAGTTTCATTTATTCATTTTTGTTTGTTTATTTTGCTCATTTTCTAATAACCTATAAGCTACCGTAGTCCTGTAACCACACTAACAAAAAATGTGTCTTCTCTAACAAAGTAAGTGTTTATATTAACTTAGTTTAGTGCTTTTACCCAAAACAAACACTCTGCTTTTCAGTAGCAATGCATGTTGAAACCTTAGCCAACTCAATCTTGCCCGAAAACTGTAATGAACTGCTCACAAATTGAAGAGGAATTCTGTAACTATAGAATAGCCTATAAGGTATAAATTGGTTTTTGCAATGGGTCTATAGTTTTTTTATATACCTATTTGTTCATATTGGTGTGCCTATCATATGAAAAGTTATATGTTGACTACAAAAGTTCCACTTCATCCTGTGCGCAGTTTATAGCAGAAAAAATAATTTCGTTCTACCAAATAGTTTCAAATCGGATAGCATGAATCACAATGCAGTTTTCCAAAGAGTGTTAACTATGTATTTCTTCTAGAACAACCCTTTTATTTACAGATAATACATTTTTCAAGCTCAACTTTAGGCATGATACGGTGGGAAATTTGTTGGTTTTTGATGCAGGCGAGTCCACTAATCGATTTAAAACAATTTTGAATCTGTTTAATTAATAGAGGTATTTTAAATGGCAGTCCAACAGCTCTGGGGCGGAATATTATAAAGACATGATTTTGGGCTTCCATTACCTCTATTATCACTATTGGCAACATTTCGATCAGTGATGTTAACAAGCTAAAACTGATAATGACCATCAGTTTTATGTCTCAATTTTCAATATTTTTATACATGAGTATTCTGATGGAGAATCACCTGGGAAGTATGTGGAAATAAGTTTAAACGGAACAATTTGGTTTTTGAATGTTCAAATTTCATAATAAGCGACAATAAACTACAAGATTTTTCTGATTCATTAGTTTGGACCATCATTTATGATACCTATACAAAAATTGCGATTAGGAAGATAAGGAATTATTAACGGAATTTTGGGAAGTTCAAAGAAAATGCTAGAGACATATAATTGTTATTGAGATGCTAAGATGAAGTATTTAACAAAATGTGTGGGGTGGGTTTTCCTCTTCGTGCGTTTTTTGTGAAACGGCATTATCACGAATAAATAAATGAATAATATGCGCTCACGGTCGATGTACATCTCCCACTAAAGATTCTTACGACATCCTGGCACCTGTCATACTAGTGGAAAACAATAAAATGAATAATGAAAAACATTCATTACACATAATAAAGCATGTTTTAAACTTGAAGTTGAATTGAATTTGAATTAAATTAATAACTATTTTCAATAAGGCATGGACGATGAAATCTGCCCCTACGCCACCTTCCACTTATTGGGCTTCCGCGAGGAAATGGACCCGACCAAGGCCATGCAATTCCAGACTTTTCCTCACCCCCACGCTGGCACCATGGGACCGTCTGGCATGAATACTCCGCACCAAATTCACTCGAGAAATGGATCACAGTCGATGCCCAGACAAAACAACAGCAGAAGATATGACAGGGTTGGATCTCAAGGAGGTAGGAATAATAAATTATGTAAGTATGTAGTTTTGACACCAAGGTTTGAAAATTGCTTTGTCTTTGGCATACTTATAAGGTTAATCGATTTTTTTATTATCTGGTTTCTTTGATCATTGGTTACTTTGGCAAGTACATGTCGTTGCGAAGTTTTGCAGGGTCAAGAATTTCTAGCATTTAGCATAATTTTGGTTCCTCTTCATATACTTCCATGCAGATTTGAAGTGAGACAACAACATTACCTTATTCGAATTTCTTGACAATGAAAATCTAGCAATTATTTTTATTTTTTTGGAAATCAATCATAAAAAAAAATGAACACGTAAATTCAGATTGGGTCTTGAGTTTTGTCAATATATTTGTTTTCATAGGCAACGGAAGCATCTACTCTCCAGGACCTGAATATGACGATCCTGCTAATTGTGCGCCCGAAGACGAGCAGTACGGTTCGCAATATGGCGGTTATGGTGCTCCTTATGATCAATATGGCAGCCGTGGCTCAATAGGACGTCGTTCTTTGGGTAGGTGCCTCTATACCAATAAAAAACTCAAATTAGTTTAGAAATGCGATAAATCTATGATACATTACACACAAACAACACAAAAAGCTAGTTTTCTATTTTCAATGGAACAATTCTGTTTTTAATGCAAATTTCCACAAGCTACTACTAGAACTACACCGTACAACTTTTTAACAGAACAATTATTATTATATTAACAAAATTATGGTAACACATCAACATAAAAACAAAATATATGGCAACATCTGCCGATGCAGCTTGATGAGATTTTCAAAACAAAACATAATAATGAAACAATGACAAGTCAGGAGCTTCCCACCATACGCTATGTGCCTGACCTCGATCGACATCTTTTGCATCTAATATCCATGTTAGAAAATTTGAAACTCTAGTCACCTATCTGTCTATATAAATAATTTTTTGATTGTTCATTACATTTTTCTATAGATTTTGAGTTATTCATAACCAATAACTAGGCTTCAAAACAGTTATTACATAATTAACAGTAGAACATAAGGCCCTACTTTCATAGAAAGGGTTTGAAAATTCAGCTCATTTTTAATAAATCAATAACATTTTAACATATACAACCATTTACATTAAAATGCTTTATCTTCTTGCACAGGTTCTCTGAGAATTCCACCAACTAGTAGCTCTCCTGAGCCCCCACCGCCACCGCCGCGCAATCACGATCCCTCTTTCAACGATTCAAAAGATTCCAACGAGATATCTGAAGCCGAATGCGATCGCGATCAATTGATTAATAGTCGCACTTACGGAGGTGAGCCGGAATGTCGAGATATTATTAGTTTTGTTCCAATCTCGCCAAGCACTGTATTGTTTTGTGAGCAAGTTTTGGATCAAACGTATTATGAACAAGATTAGTTATTATTTTAGAATATACCTTAACTGCATATGTATCCTTTCCCACACTATACTTGTCCTGTCCAAAGCACCGATAGTAATTATAAGCTTTGAAAATTCAATGATCGATATCCAGTGTCAACAATAATTATGGTCAAAAAATCTATGTTATAATTATGGAAGTATAATCAGATTCAAATAAGCCCTTCATCATTCTCTTAATCACACTAGACCTCCTCTCAGAAAGAATATTATTTGGCTTTGGTACACAAATACTTTTTTTGTACTTGCGCAGAAGATGGTATTGGTAAATCAATATAATAATTGATATGTCGTGTGCAAATAGATAATGAGTTAATTGCTCATCTCTTATAGGTTGATAAAATCTGCACTGACTTTCACTACCCTTCTTCAATTCAACAGTACATGAATAGAGACTTATGATTGTGAGTATGGTGCTGAGTATCTTTGAAATATGTTTGTTGTTTTGCCAAACACGTTTCGGTCTTTGACTTTTCAAAGCTTCATAACTTCAGTCCTGTATTTTGGTCCCTTTTTCCTCCTTATCCAAAAATGTGCTATTGAGATTGGCCACAATAATTCCTAGTAAGATATCTAATCAAATATCGAATTATTTAATTTTCAGAAGATGAGCTGGGTAAGTGCAATAATGATGGTTTTTGCGCGTGCGTGATTGAATTCTATCTACCATTATTATTTAGAAATTTAGTTATTGGTTTGTTTTCACCTGATTGGATCATCATCATTTGTTTTTAAACAAATCATAAATAATTGCAAAATCATTTAATGTCTTATTATAAAAACTTGCTTTTTGTGACCCTACCCTTTCCTTGTTTACAGTATTCATATCGTAACATGAATAATTGATATAAATGAAAATGCAGGATGTTGGGTAGGAACTTTTGGCAACAATGATTTTGCGGTTATTAATTTGTCATTTTGATTTATCATCTTGGGTAACTAGAGTCAGTATTTATTCATGATATCCGTGAAGTTATAGTGCTCGTGACAGTAAATGAAGGTTGGCCCCTCAGGACAGGTCTTAAAGTTAGGCTGTGGCCCGAATATTACCAGCGTTGTAATTTCGCGGTCCGAAAGTAATCAAATCACTCTGGTTCCTGGAAAATGGGTTACTTTTGTACCTCGGTTTCCTGAAATCTGGTTAACCAAATGTCAAAATAGTTACCGGCCATTGGATGTTGGTTCTGTTGGTTTTATCTGTAATTGCTGTCAATTATTTTTTATTTCATATTTGCGTTCCCCAAGTAACCGGAATTTTCAGTAACCATCTGTCAACCGATTCGGTTAGTTTGGTTCTATTCGGACCATAGCCTTAATAGATTTTTTGTTTGTCACCAATTTTAACTCATTGTTCGTCATGATACCTGGAAAAGTGGCTTGGGAGGTCAACAGATAATTCGGTTTTGCAAGCCAGTGGAAAGAACCAATAAAAAAAAAAATTAACCGATCAAATAATCTTCTATAGGGGTGATCCTGTATTTTACTATGTTGCAGGTAATCCTTTTGAAAAGCAGTGCCACTAATCAATTTATTTGAGAAAAAAAAACCATAAATTAAGAACGCGCATTTTTACTGGCTCTCCATCTTGAAATAAACATACTTTCCAACCTCATCATTGCGTCCCACTAACATTTGATTGCATGATAATTGTGACTAATTTTTTTTGTATCTAACAAAGAGGCACCCCTTCATATTTCATTATGTATTTGCATAACAGGAAAAAAAAACTAAACTTTTTCAGAACATGACTACGTCATTTTGATGTTCGGCCTTTTTTTGTTCGTTATAAAATGTAGTACATATAATTATTGCTCGTTCCTGTTATGTACAAAATGATTTTTAATGAGAACTGGATCATTTTTGATGTTCTGAAACCCGCGTAGAAAGTTTCCTCTTTCAAAAATTACGGCTTTAAGTTTTTTTATAATATCATAAATGACCCTGTTCCTTGAGGTACCTACTTATTTTTTTATTTTTATTTTGCATAAATCGCATCATACAAAACATCTAATCAATAATGTTTAGTAGATATGTTTTTAGGTTATATTGTGATCGTTGTAGTAAGTGTGGTTTTTTTCCAGTAATGAGAGGTAACACAAAGGATGCCTGCATGACCCACGAGGAAATGAGAAAACTGATTGAGAGGTCAGTACAGTAACTAAATAAAATTTAACATTTTGCAGTTTCTAAAATAAAGCCTTAAAGGCACCTTGAATAGAAAAACGCATTACATTCCTACTTATGTACAGATAAGGCCCCAAAAAACCCTGTGCCGTTTCGTTTTTTTTTCAGAAAGAAAAAACAACCTCCTATCTGAAAATATAGATTCTGGGATACAATTAAGTACCTACTACCTTTTGACAAAACTTCAAAATATCTTTTAACCTGAGAAGGCTCGCTCACGGCCCGGCCTTTTTACCGCCTCATCTTTTTTTCTAAAAAATCGATGGTTTCAAGCAACATGCAAATATTGAGATATGTACAAAATTATTGATCTATTATGAGAAATTTTTTTTGATAAATATTAGATACTTACTATTGATCAGGACTTTGTCACTATGTTTGCTGTCTTTATTATAAAAATAGTAAGTTATAACAAAATTGTAACTTAAATAGCATAAAAAGGAGAACATGTAGCCTATTCATAGCGCGAGCCATGTAGGAAACTTTTGAGGCGCTGGCTGCTACTCTCAGGTTAAAAGAGGTTTCCTTTTTAAACCAATCCAAATAATTTCCTAAAGTTGTTTTTGTATCAAATTCGCAAAATATTTTGTCAATGGCACATGAGAGTGTGGTCAAGGTCAAAAGTGCATTTGAATGTGTCATTGAATACAAATTTACAATAAATACAACTATATTTATCATATTCAGTATTTATTTATGATTCGGGCATAATTGCAAAATTAGCAGGTAAAGAGTTGATTTTCGAAACACACTATATTAATAAATATTTTAAACATTGCAATAATACATATTTGGGTTATTTATTTATGTTTTCACGAATTCCTCCCTCTCAAACAGGAAACTGTAAGTTAGAACATGAATTTATGCTTTTTATTTTATTGTTTTTATCTAGATTTAGCTTGGTTTTTCTGCATCTCAAGGGCCTTGAATTATTATTTATGTTTTAATAACAATATGTGTGCATTTTTGTGTTTTTCTGTGGCTTAAAATTCTTTGAAACCGGTTTTTGGTCAAATAATATAAGGTCTATTCCCTGTTCCTTCAATAACTACACATGCCAACAACAACATAAGTAGCTTATTGGTGCAGCTGTTGATTTAAAATTGTACTCTTAAAAAAGTGTAGGAACATTGAACAGGCCTTCATCGATCAATAGGTTTATTCTAATAAAAATTCAAAAATTATTGGTTGAAAAATAGAAAAAAGTAATTTTTATTGAAACAAACCTATTATGAATATAATATGTGCTTTGGCTTATTATTAGCATGTTAGTCTTTAAGTTTTTTTTTTTTTAAATATCAAAATCACTGCCTATGTACCTACCTACCTACCTACCAACCTACCTACATGAACTGGGCAAAGTATAACAAGATTTAAATACCATGTGTCTATTAACTCAGTATTAGTGCGTACTCTACTTTTGAAATATTGAATGGCTTGTATTGTATAAGTGCTAGTCATGATTCTCAGCACTTCATTTTAAACAATTTTTTTTGTCACACTGTAGAATAGGCACAATATAGATCACATGAGTGAATTTAAAAATTGCATCACTAAATACATTTTTCGAAATATTTTGTGTTAGTTAAGCCAAGTATGTACAGCTTTTTTTTCCATGAATCATGAAAAATCAAAAGCTCAAAATGTCTATTATTATTATTCATGCATGTTGTTATTTAATATAGTACACTTGAAGAAGGTTTCTACAATGACAGACAACTGTTGTGAAATCATGAAACTTTGGACCAAAATGGTCCTGTCACTCTTTTGAAAGTTCCAGTTAGGGTCGCACCCTCACTGTTTGATAAAGTAGGGTTCTCTTGTACAGACATATGAAAGCAACTTACTGGTGTACTACTACACTGTTTTTTAATCATATACCACAATTTTTTGACAATTATGTTGTCTGCAGTCTACTATCTCATACAGTACCTACGTCAAACGTCTGAAAAATTCTTCTACAGTATCTAAATCCTGTAAAGGTTTACGTTCAGACATTGTAACATAAATGCCTACTTCACAATTTTACTTATTAATGTATTTTTTTTTTGTTTTCTCTATTCAAGAAACGAAACAAAGCAAACCGCAGCCACAAACGGGGGACTCACAGCCTACGATACTGTGGCAGTGTAATCTTTAAGCCGCTGCAGCAGCGGTAGCACTGTCTACCACAAGACATTCATTATACCGATTATTATATATTTTTTGGTAATATTTAGCAACTACATATATGATTTTTGGCATATTTCAATGTTTGACCCTAAAAACATATACAATGTTACATTATTCGATTTATCAAGAAAATCAAATCTAGGTATCATTAATAGTGAATCACACATTCATATTGAGTGAATAGAAACAATAATTGACATAATGTTACCAGATACGATTTGAGTTTCATCCATCCTTATTATCTATATAATTCCTTCCTGTGCATGATATTATTATGGTTGCTAAATAGTTTTTGCAACAAGTATTCAATAATGCTTTTGTAATTATTGACTAGACTGATTTACTTGATGGATGAAAAGATAATTCTTTGAAAAATATGGCAAACAAAATTGATATATTAAAATATTTTAATTAAATACTTCTTTTGATAATCAACAATTAAATAATATTTTTTGTTCTCATAATGGGCTTCGAGAGCCGCTATTTACGAATACGTACACATTTTGCCAATTTTAGGGTAAAATATCGTAATTTTTTGTCATTAGTTTGAGTGTTTTTATTTAATGTAAAAAAGTGGCTCAATGTGTCATGTGATATTTTTATGTGGTTTTTAACTGGGTTGATCCGCATACTATATTTTTGAAACAATCATAAATAGTTACAGGGTCATTTTTTATATATCAGAGTCAGAAGACAAGTTTGAATTTTGGGTAAAATTCTTAGATATTTTATGTTTCACTGTTTTTTGGGATACTGGGCTTGTGGTTATCACTCTAATAGATATTGAGAAGATGACGCGTTTTTCTGTAATAATTTCCATGTTTTTCAAATCAGGCCTTTTGGATCTATCGGTGTTAAAGGATGTCCGATAAAAAAAAAATCTGTCGGATTTTTTAATAGTGCTATTTAAATATAATAAATGACATTTAACGTATTTGTACAGAATTTTACCCAATCTCTATTTTTTAAGAAAAGACATGTCCCACCTCTAAGATTAAATGAAAACAGCAATGAATTTACAAATAATGTCAATAAGGATTATTTAGTTTACTGTCTAATTATAATAATTATTCTAGAAACTGAAAATTCGAGTCCATAAGTGTTCTGGAACCAATATATTGATTGTTTCAAAAAAGTAGTATTCGACTGTGACGTTTTTGTCTCTCTGTCTACAGTTGGTGCCAAATTTAAACAAAAGAAAATCCACAATATACAAAAAAACCATCAGTAGGTACCAACAACATACATAATTATTTTTGTATAGGTAGTTTGTTTATTTTTATGCATTAGTAGGATGTTTTTTGTTTTGTTTTTTGTTTAATAATTTTCATTATTATTATTTAGGTAGGTATCCACCTTCCCACAGGTGCCATTTTTGATTTAAATCTGACTAGGCTAACCCTTCTATTTGAACAGGTAGGAGTGTCATTTTGAAAGCATAATCGTAGGGAATGGTCTGACTTAAGAAATTGCCAGTTGGCAGACCATTTAATTTGCAATCTCCTCAAATACTTACAGTAACAAATTTGTTGCTCAAATTAGCAAGGAGTTGTATTAAACTCTACTATTCAAATTTTCTAACACCTATTATTTGGCTATAAGATGCACTGTCAAATTGGCCCATTCCTTAAACTTTGCTTTTAAATATCCACTTTCACCAGATCAAATTTAAAAAAATTATCCCAAATAAGGTTTTAAAATATACAATAACTCTGTATTCTTAGTATTTTCAATAATTAGTGTGGTTGGCGATTTTCTTTTTTGTTTTTCTGTTAATTTGAATATGCCATACAAGTTTTTCAAAGGTTGTGTATCGCCAGCTCTTTAGATAATTATAATTAACGCTGCTGTATGAAATAGGAGTTTTATTAATTATACAGGGAGTCCAAAATATCTTGTGCCACCTTCGCTATCTCAAAAATAACAACTGTTTTTAAAACTTATAAATAATTTGATGTAATATTTCTAAGTTGGAACATTTATGAATTGACTTTTTTCATTGGATACAATAATTATTCTTGGCATTTATCACAAATTGCCCTAAATTTCTAATCAAAATTCAACGACTTATTAATGGCAACTGTTTGCTAATCATTTTCGAGATAGCATTGTAAGAACTTGATATTTTTTATACCCTATGTATTGTAACATTATTATTAGTGTTTTTCAACTTTTAAGCATATGCATTCAAATTATACTAATAATAATTGTAGATGTTAAAATTCAAAATTAGATCCAAAAACTAATAATAATAACAAAATAGATAAATCAAGAATAATAATTGATAGTAATTGGATATTATATTAATTAAATTTATGTCAAAAAGCGGAAATAAATATACTCATCATCAACCGCATTTGATAATTATTATTTGGTTGGTTCTAACATAGCAACAAGTCAGTAAGTATATTGTGTAGTTACAAACCAGACATTCGTGAAAATAATTAAAACTTAGCTTTATGCCGTTTAAAATCACTGTAACTGGTTTATTATTCCTGCATTTAGTCCAATCAGATTCAAGAATCCTACATTGAAAAAAAATGTATTTTATGGAAACAGTACAGAGATAATTGTGTGTTGGAACCATCCTATTATTATTCAGGTCAGATCAGTTTCTTCATAGATAAATAATCTTCAGATAAATCTTCACTCCTCAAGATTTTAGCTTAATAAAGAAATATTTCTACTTCATCTGGAGGAATTAATACAACTCTTAGCCTTATTTAATAATGAAAAAATCGCCCCTTAAACTATTAGAGTGTCCTAAGATAAGATAGCTTCTAGATGTATTTATGAATTTCAAATACATAATATAATAAATATGGTGGCATTTTAGACTTCCAGTAATTTTTTTTTGAAACTGGGCTGTCCCTATTTTCTTATCCAAAGTGCATGCAGTTTGTGAATTTGTTACAGTTCAAAATATCAGTATAAAATTACTGACCTTTGAGCTTTGTTTTCAGTACCATTTAGCGGTACTTCAGTACTTGATCGTGTCTAGTTCTGTTCTTTCTACTACACTTCAACCCTAAAAATAATATTGCACATCATTGCATTCATATCAGGTAGACAGATGGGTCAAGTTTCCAAAGGTGAAGGTAATCACAGGTTTTCAAATTTATGTGCATCCAACAACTCCAAGTTCCTAAGTAGAATTTGACAGAATTATTTATCAAGTGACAGCATGCTTGTTTTATTTTGCTTTTGTAACTAGAACCGAGCTTCCTATTGACTATTTTCACAGAAACCTTAGTGGAAAATATGTCAAATTTTTGCTCTTTGAAAATGGTCAATATATCATTTGAAAAATTGGCAAATGTTTGTGTGTGTGATATAACGGTTTGAAATGCCATTTTATGTATTAATTTTATTTGTGTATCTAATAATTATTGTAAGTGTGCTATATATCCAATTTAGTGTGTAAGTTATAATCTTATTATTATTATTATATTAATTCTTGTAGTGTTATATACTCTCTCTACTTATTATACAATCCAATCTATAAATGAAATAATATTGTGTAAATTATTTAGTATTTTGCGATATTTAACCTTTCATATACTCTATCCATCTACTGTCTTTTGTGTATATTTTGCTTACTCTATTTCTACTTTTTACTCCATTATCTATAGATAGATTTGTGACGTAGATATACTGCTCACAGGCGGTCTATCTTGAAAAAAAAAATACATATTATTGAAAGCTTATGTACCAAAGTTTGATTTGAATAATAAAACTAAGAAGTACTATTTGCATTTTTTATTTTGGACATAAAGGAAGCCAATAATAATAACTCGGAAAAGAAAAGGATCTATTATTACTTTTGGATTGTGCTTGTAATTTTGAAAATATTTACTTGGGCGTCTATAAGAAATGGACCAGCCATATAAAACATCGTAATTCGGAAAAAATTGCACTGTTCTGATTTTTTGTGATGTTAGTAGTAGTAGAGTAGACAAGGTCTGTGCCAAGTGGGGCTCGAAAAACCTCAAGAAATGATGCCTGACGAATTGCAGGACTTTTGTAATGTGTTGAATGAAAATTGAATTATGGCGTTAGTCATCTGTAATACAGAAACAGATCTATGCATACTTTTTAAGACGTTTTCACACATCATTGCTTAGAGGGGATCAACAGGTAGGTAACAGGAAGCAAAATAATTCATGGGGTACTTAAAGCTTATATATTTTTTGCTTGCCTCTCCTGCATATTGCTATTAGTATCTATTAGATTTATTCAGTTCAGTCAAGAAAAATCTCACAAAACTTTGCTAGTGTAGGTAGTAGGTATGTTGAAAACAAATAATTCCTTAATTTGGGAGTCAATGTTTGGCAAATACGAGTCTGCAGTTGGAAATTGAAATCCAATCTGCTCCTTCTAAATAATAGTTCAAAAAATAAAACTAAACAATTTATAGGAATACCTTTATTAGGTGATAAAAAAATACAAATATGGCCTTATTGCACAATAGAAAAATACTTCTGTCAGTTTTCTGAAAGAATAATATTAGAAGGATAGTTATAATACAAATAAAAACCTCTGAAAATGTGACAGTGAACAATCAGAGACTTTTTATACTGAGCTGTATACAAATAATTTATGTAATTCGAGCGCAAAGTGATAAATTGTCGCTCTGAGCGAGAAGTCTGACGCGCGACGGCTAGCGGAGCGCGGTTTTCTCGCGAAAGCGACAATATTTAAAATAATATTGTCGTTCGAAGGCGCTCGGTTGTAGGAAAAAATCATAAAACGCAAAGCTAATGGATAAAAGGGAAAAAAACATGCTTATAAGCTACAAAATTCATTGACTTTCTACAATGACCGGTTTGACATTTAGATCTAAATCGTTAAAATATGGATGCACTGCAATGGATTCGGCTGAAATCCTTTGGTCTGGATGGTAGAGGAACATTTTCGCTAGCAAATCAATTCCTTCGTCGTTCAGATTCTTCACTGATTTTTTTAGGTTAAAATCGGTCCAGTTGGGAAAAGTTGCTTTGTATCCTGGTAAAGAAGAAACGCCTTCCCAAATTTCTTCAGTTGGAGTTCGCAGGATCCTAAAAACAGCAATATTGTGTTCAATAATTAATTATCAATCGCAATCAATGTGAATAAATCCTTACTTGAAAATCTTGAAAAGCTGACCAATTTCAGAATCGCCTCGGAACAAATTTTCTTTCATATCCATCTCCGCGAAAATACAACCCATGGACCAAATATCAATTGGGCAAGAATATTCAGGAGCTCCCAAAAGTATTTCAGGGGCTCTGTACCATAAAGTAACCACTGCGGGGCTGTACATTTTCCCCCCCTGTGGTCCAAGCTTTCTTCCTGATCCAAAATCAGCCAACTAAAATAATAATGGGAAATATTCCACATAAAAATCAAATCAACTTTTACCTTGATTAATCCGTCTTTGTTAATTAACAAGTTCTGTGGTTTCACATCCCTATGAATGATCCCACGTTGATGGCAAAACAGGAGTGCCTGATTAATCTGGTATACGTAGCTTTTCACTAGCTTTGGATTCATATATTCAGGCGCGATACTCGTCATATATTGTTTTAAGTCCTTGTTAAGGAGTTCCAATATAGGATAATAACATGACCTTTAAAGTAAAAGAGAAGTTGTGCTTTAAAAATAAACTCTGAACAATGGTAACTCTAAGGCATGGTAAAACCCATTTTATGTTGATTCAATGAACCAGAGTGAAAGAGAATAAGAAATGATAATAAGGGAGGATAGATATGGCAGGGATGGTATATTTAGTGGTTCTTACCTTGGATTTTCCACTCGATTTCCGATGATAACATCAATCAAAGAAATAATGTTAGGATGCCGAAGTTGCTTTAAAAGACTTATTTCTCTGAAAGCTGAATATAGCATGCCGTATCCTTCTCCAGTGTCACGCCTTTAATTAAGTATTTGATTCCTATCATTAAGCAATAGAATTTTATGAGAGTCTAGGCACTTACTCGTACTTGATCATTTTTATGGCCACCAGTGCTCCTGTCTTTTTGTTCTTTCCCTTGTAAACGACTCCAGTAGTACCTTCGTTCACCTTTTCGCCTATGGAATAATGATTTAATGGAAATAATCGAACTAATTCTTCCTCCATGTTTTAAATTCCTGAAACCTATTTGGAAATAAAAAAAAATGGGGTATTAGCCCTACTTCATCTATGCTTGGTGCGGAAAATTTCACGCATTTAAAACTTACCAAAAGACAAAGATATATTGGTGGAATGAGTTTAACGAATTTTTTTACAATCCGGAAAAATGAACAGGAACCAGGGTTGTCCTCAAGAAATAAAGAAATATTCAATTATGCAATTGGCAGCACTGAAATTGTGCAGTTTTCTACAGGATTGTGCACTCGGAAATTGACACATGCGCAAGGTTGTTTAAAAACAAGGATGATACACACTACTACTACTGGATAGCCTATCCTCATAAGGCCTGTGTGTAAGAAATCCCCCCTTTCCCGCCAGCCAAAATACCAGTAGTGACGTAGGTAGCATGTTATTTCTTGCCTTGACGTAGGCTGTTTAAACAGCTAACGACTTAGTTATGACGTCAGGAATGGTGGTACACTAATATGGCGGCGATTACCAAAAACGAGGCCGAAAAGCACTCCTTAAGGCCGGGACACACTTGTCATACACCCTTCCGATCCGACGTACTCTCATACTCGTTCCCGGTTTTTTTTCCGATTTCTGGCTCTGGCTTGTAACACTCACCACTCGCCTTTCTTGATTCAATTAATATCGCAGAGGGTCCCACGTGTACAAAATATTCAAATCTTTCAGCAACTGCGATTTAGTCATGGTGGCACTTGGTTTAGAAGAAGTAGATGAAAAAAATCAGAGATCTTTTATGGAGAAAAGCGAAAAACGCAGATTTTGGGTACATGCTGCTGGGAAAGGATGGTCTGCAGAAGCAGAGTTTTCTACACTTTTCCCTCATAGCAGTCTTTTTTTTCTCCATTTTAGCAAGAAACCACAAAAAACTTGCACAAACACCATAGATTGCACAATCGGATGCAGGATCGGAGTCGTGTGGGAGTGGGAATGGGCAAGTGCCGGAAAGGTGTGAAGACGTCATCTGTATGCCTCAACATAATGCAAATCCCCATAAGGCACCCCAGATGCATCATCAAGTTATCCATTACCAGACCAAGGATGATACACACTTAACACACTACTACTACAAGATAGCCTATCCTCATAAGGCCCGTGTATAACAAATCCCCTCCTTCCTGAGGGGGAGATGGCGCCATATATCGATAAAATTACATCAATAATTGATTATAAGTATATGCAAAAAAAATATAGTAAATGTAATATTTATTATCATAGTTATTATTAGACACTTTAAGCAGGTCTTAAATTTCAAACGTATCCGTATCCGCATCAATCTGCGTATGTGCACAATAAATACGGTGGTTTTGTTGCGTTGCGTTGTCCGTATCGTTACGGGGTTAGCCTCGTATCCGTATCCGAAAACGTATCTCAGTCATTTGACACTATTAAGAGATCTTAATGTCAGTTATCACTTAAATAACTTTAACAGCATAAAAACAGTACCTACTTATAGACAAGAAAAAACCTACAAATACAGCTACAAAATCAATACAACACTTTTTGAGGTTAGAAAACGCTTCATCCAAGGCTACGATCGTTTACGTAATGTACGGCCATGCGTAAAAGGACTTATTAAACTTATGCTTATGATAAATTAGGCACATTTAAATAGTAGAGTGCAATTTGTGCAACTCAACTTCTTGAAATTTGACTGTCAGATTCAGATCCGTGTGCCAGTGTTGCCAATTGAGGATAAACCATTATCGTGGGTACAGAACGCTATACAATACAATTTACATTCGTACAAATTAATCAAATTATTGTAATAAGCTGCTATAAAACGGTGTTTACACTAGATGCAATTGGATGCAATTTTTGAATATATAACCACAGGAAGGAGCGTTTTCTATCTGTCACTACAGACAACAGAGAGACGGAAACGGCCATATTGAGCCTCCAAGTATGACTCATAATTTGTTTTGGTGGTTCGCTGTGTTCTCATTCAAGTGGATGTTTAATGGAATTAAGCAGTTTTAAGTGATAATAAGCACTGGGATTAGTGCGAAAAGAGTGAGTCATAATATTGACAATCATATTTAAATAGATATACGCCAACTGCCAAACCGGAAACACTAGTCGGCCATGCAACCTCCACATATTCTGGTCGCGCAGATTCGAGGTTATGCTCCTTCCTGTAGTTTTATATTCAAAGGATGCAATGCAATTTTTTAGAAATTGCATGCAATCTGCTGCGCATGCAATTTAGGTTTACTTTTCATGCATCCGTTTTTCTGTCAATCCGTTGATCCGGAAGTAGGTATTCTTATTGTTCCAATATTTTGGCGCCGAAATATTGGACTAATAGGAATAGTTCCGGATCAACGGATCGACGGAAAAACGGATGCATGAAAAGTAAGCTTAACTGTTTACATAGGACGCAATAAAATACATGTCATCATTTTGTGAACCCCTTGTGCCAATAAGAGAAAATGATATATTATTATAACAGTTGATTTGATTTATATTTTTAAATTTTGTATTTTGTGTTGTTTTCTGTTCAAGATGGAGTTAGCCATTTTGGATTTTGCTTGGATTTTGCATTTTGCAAGATAAAATTTATTAAATTTTGTATAAAATGGTTTATGGTACGTACCTACATATTTAATTATTTAATTTTTATTTTCTCTGGTTGGTAGTTAGGGAAATGGCATGCAACGTGCAATAAATTCAGCACACGTTCTAATTTTATGTAATGCATTTAAAATTGCATTAGCTGATTGAAAATGACCAGGTGCGCATGCCTCCGCGCAATATTCTATTGCGCGGCCACGGCATTGCATGTAGTGTAAACACGCTTTAAATTTGCAGAAAAGGTGTTCTAGTACATATGTGTTTACGCATAGAAATGCATTTTTCCAATCGAGACTCTCCCTAGAACAAATTTCGGCGATATCATTAGCAAAATGTTAATTGCTTGTAATAGGTTGTCTGGTAATGGCAAACAGATGACGTCATCAGGTGATTCCTAAGAAGATTTGCATCATGTTTAGGCATATAGATGACGTCATAGAAGTTATCAGGCAATCTACCTCTACGTCTTTTAAACAGCCTTGATATTTGAATTTTTCACTTCTGTCGTGTGGCCTTAGCACACACCGTATTTTTTTATTACTAATTAACTGATTATTGATATTTATTGAAACTATATGGTTCCGTTTCCCAGTGGCGTATTTACGATTTTCATCTGGGGGGGGGCAACGTATCAATAAAAACAAATAAAATTAATTATCTTTCTCTAGCGGGGGGCAAGGTTCCTTAAGTTAATAGGTTGTCTGGTAATGGGTAACTTGATGACGCATCTGGGGTGTCTTATAGAGATTTGCATTATGTTGAGGCATCCCAGATGACGTCATCGAGTTATCCAGGTAACCCAAGGGTCTTTGAATAGGGCAATCCAACGACCTGTCAAAATGGAATTCAAAATGGAGGCCGATGCCTTTTTATCCGGGTTTTCCACTAATAATTTCTTAAACTAAAAACTTTCCATTTTAAAATACGAAAATTATCCTACCAAACACTAGAAAATCATCTAAAAATACCACAAAATACACAAAAAACAGTTTTTTGATAAAAAATGTCACGATTGTTTGAATTAAATTTATGGCGCCGATTTTTTGGCATTGACCATGCATTGACCGCCATTTTGTTTGGATTGCCCTATATAAAACAACAGGAAGGAGCATAACCTCGAATCTGCGCGACCAGAATATGTGGAGGTTGCATATGGCCGACTAGTGTTTCCGGTTTGGCAGTGGCGTATATTTATTTAAATATGATTGTCAATATCATGACTCACTCTTTTCGCACTAATCCCAGTACTCATTATCACTTAAAACCGCTAAAATCCATTAAACATCCACTAGAATGAGGACACAGCGAACCACCAAAACAAATGATGAGTCATACTTGGAGGCTCAATATGGCCGTTTCCGTCTCTTTGTTATTTGTAGTGACAGATAGAAAACACTCCTTCCTGTAGTTTTATATTCAAAGCCAAGGATGATACACATTACTACTAAAGGATAGCCTATCCTCATAAAGTCTGTGTGGAACAAATTCCCCCTCACCAAATTACCATTTGTGACGTAGGCTGCATGTTATTTCTCGCCTTGACGTAGCCTGTTTAAGCAGCTGACGACTTAGTTATGACGTCGGAAATGGTGACACACCAATATGGTGGCGATTACCAAAAACGAGGCCGATAAGCAATCCTGTAGGTGTGTTTCATCCTTGCAGGCAACCTACCTTTCTCAAATAACCTTGAGCAGGAGTAGTGAGATGAAAAATCGAAACGAAAAATTCCGACGAAAGTGACGACATCAATGTGACGGATCGAATGTATTGATTCCCATGTGTCTCTCTCTCACTCCTATTCCCTTTCTTTCATCAGACATTTCTGTCTCTGTTTTATCCTGGAATGCATTCAAAATCACCCTGGCACACCAGGGTTGCGTTCGAGAACCTGATTATTGGTGTGAAAATTATTTCAATGAGTGAAGGTCCGATACACTTTGCTGTGTAAATCCTCTAGGTTTTCAAACGGTAACCAAGTCATTTATGGTTTGTTAATGTTACTTATTCAGTAACTAAAAATTAAAAATAGATTTTTGGGGGGGCCCGGGCCCCCTGAGCCCCCCCCCGTAAATACGTTACTGCCGTTTCCAAACTTCAGATATAAGTTCCAAAAGTTTGAGTATTTTTATGCAAATATACGTCTTAGTCAATGTCTACTGTGTATACGGAGCTTTTTTCTTTGCCTTTCGGCCTCCGGTTTAGATGACAGTTGATAGTTGTGACTGACAGTGACAGTGACATATGACAGTTGTGGTTGAAATGGTTGCGTCCACGAAATAGATGTCGTGACGACATGAACGTAACAAGTAAATGACTCTATTTTTTTGCATTTGTTTATGAGTAAAAAAGTGAATAATTTGATTATGTATTATTATAGTATTTCAGGCATACTATAATGACCTTTAACACATTCAATGACACCTGATTTTGTTGACATATTTTTAACTGGCATTAGCGGCATTTCCCGCCAACGTCATAATGCGAATGCGGGCGCTGACGTTATATGACGCATTTCCTTTTTTGTTCCTGATGGAGCTAGCGTTGTATGCCGTCGATTTAGCGTATATTTGGTGTTAGGGTGCCGTATTGGAAACCCAAAAATATATATTTAGAATGGATAGTATAATTAACGTCTCCGGAACCACCCGAGACACAGGTCAATACATTGCAGCATATCATGGTGTCGTTCTGACCCAACATTCTTTATAAATTATTTCACTATTTTTGCCATAATGAGTGTTTCCGATGTGTGTGAATATTCGTTCTCTTATCTACTGTTATCTTGTCTACATTTGTCACTTTATACCCACATTTTTGTTGAAGCTAGAATCAATTAAAAAGTATTTTCTTTAATTTTGGATCTGCCGCCGCTCTAGAATAATGCCCGATTTGACATTTTTTCTGAAAATTCAAAAGAAAAATACCTATTTCACTGCTTTAAACAGGTTTAGGGCTTTTACAGTGTTCTATTCAAACAACAGTATGTAGTACCTATATGTATGTATATAAACTTTTAGTAAACAGAGACAAAAATAGACAGTATTTTCCGAAACAGCGCATCTTATTAGAGGTTTGTTCGTTTTTGTAGCATTAACTTAAACTGAGCGCAAAATATTTCAGCTTTGTGCGGCATCACGAGTTTAACTAATAACTGCTTGAACAATAAATATTCTGACACAAACAAACAGAGTTTTTTGTTAATTGATTTTTAATTTGTAAGGAAGTCAAGGGAGATTATTATTATTTATATTCCGAAATCGAATTTGTTTTATCAAGTGATTAAGATAGTGGAGAGGACTGTGACATTGTAGGCAGCCATTTTTTATATAAAGGAATAACGGAGGCATAGAATATAAATTCGTTCTATCGGGGAGCTCTACTCGAGACGAGAATCCGGCCCCTGAATGTGGCGTTTTTGACATTTAATTCTAGGTTGCCCTATAGGGCATTCCAACGAACTGTCAAAAATGGCGGCTGTCAAAATTTAGCCAGGGCAAGCAAATGTTAAAGTGCGCAAAAATATTAGTAAAATGCCTTCATTTTGTTGTGTATTGAAATGATGTAGTAGAGAAAGAACGCGACAACGTTAAATTTTATAAAATACCATCGGAACTGAATCGAAAACATCCTGATAAACAATAAAAAGACAACGCTGGTTACATGCAATCAAACGTGAACGTGAAGATTTAATTGGCAGTGAGTTAAAATATATGTTGTAGTTTGTCCGAGACATATGTATCAGTATTAACTATCAAGTATTTTTTTACTTTAGAGATAGCAACTGAGCAACTATTATTAGGTATTGAAAAATGTATATTAAAATGACGCGTGTTTGATACAATTGAATTGTGTGCCTTAACTGATTTTTTGTTGTTGTTGAAATGCCCTATCTTACTCCTCGAAAACAAGTGCATGTTGAACATGAACTAAACAGTTTGGAACGAACTGCACTTCACAAACGAACGCTCGTCAGTTCATTGCCATAACAGGAACGAATGCCCCAAGCAGGAAGTGCTGCTCTGAACAACACAAACAAACAAACCTTAGGTACCTGTACGTGGAATAGTAGTTATTTTTTATGTCATTAGGTCAAGAAGTGCGTCTTTTTTGGGCTGAGCTCAAAGTTTGAACGGAGCACAAAAAGTAATTCTGGGCCGAATGGGGTTTTTCTTCTGGATGACAAATCAATATTAGGTCACTTGGAACACACCCCATTGCTCCGAACATGGACGTGAGTGTAAGCGACCAGACACATCTTGATTCCCCGTATATTTATTTGTGCAATAAATGAATCCATAAGATTGAACAAAAAATGTAAAACGAACAAATTAGTAGAAATATGAATAAATTATGCTCTTGGAACTAATTTCCGAACTTGGTCGTTGACTCTATCGAGAAGAAAACCCAAAATTAATTAATTACGAGAACATAACCCCATACATGCAAATCTTCTCAGTACTAGGTATTTATCATGGATCACTTCTGTGATATATTATAATTTATCATGTCATACAATCATTGTTTAAAAAATATGTACAAAATCAACATCAATTAGCAATTGTTTTATTTTAAATTTTGATACTTAATCTAAAATATTTGATAATAAATATGAAGTACACTGTACACACTACCAAATAATAGCAGTACAAGCACTGCATCAGAATCTAAAAATTTACAAATATACTTAAGTTTACGAGCTTCGACCTAAGAAATTTGTAAAACTACATAAAGGTCAATACGAATAGGGTAATGATCTAATTCACATTATGATAAACTATTCAATAAAAAAGGTACAAGTTCAATTCTAAATGTTTTTGTTCAACTAAACGAATGTTCATGAAACTAGTCCGGCATCTCTACACATACCAAAGAAAATTGTAGATTTATTTTTTAACAAAGCAGCAGGCGTATCAAACTCGGCTATCTGGCCGTGGTCCAGCACCAGTACTCGATCCGAATCGATTATGGTGTTTAATCGATGAGCAATGGTCAATACTGTGCAATCGGCAAAGGCCGTACGAATCGTCTTTTGAATCAGGTCGTCCGTTTCCAAGTCAACAGCGGCCGTGGCTTCATCCAGGATCAGAATTTTTGTTTTTCTAAGTAAAGCTCGGGCTAGACATATAAGTTGGCGTTGGCCTACTGACAGATTTTCACCGCCTTCTGAGATTTTATAATTTAAACCTGCTGCTAAACCTGAAAATTTATTTTTTCTAATTAAAATTAACAAATATAATGTAGGTATATATAATATGTTTAAGAGTATCTAACTTTGTTTTTTTGAACAATTCTGGTACCGCTCAAAATAAATATGAAGTTTCACAAAGGTTGTTACTAAATAGCGATCAAAACTGAATTACATAAATGTTTGAACGGTTTTAAAATTCTTTTTCACTATAGAACCAAATCAAAGGTTTCTTTTTTTTTAATGACTTTCCTAGTTGCCGATTCCATAAAAGAAAGGTACAAATTAGGCGCATGTAGTTATTATGAATATTGATCAGATTAGGAAAATTGTATAATGAGTTTTAAGCGCAGTCTTTTCTTTACCTTTCGTAAAGTCTTTCAAATGAGCCAGTTCCAAAACGCGCCATACTTCATCGTCCGAGTAAAGTTCGAACGGGTCCAGGTTCATTCTAAGACTTCCAGAGAAGAGGACGGCATCCTGTGGTATGATGGTCAACCTGGAACGGACATCGTGCAGACCCATGTCGCCAATATCTTTGCCGTCGATCAAGATTTGGCCTTCTGCTGCTTCGACGATTCTGTGTAAAAAATACAACAAATTTGGACTTTTGTCTGTGATTCCCTGAGAATCAAGGTGGATAGAATTAGAAATGTTGGGAATCCATATATGTATGCGAATGTAAGTTTACTCATCAAAGCAGAAACAAAGACAATATTTAGTAAGCTATGAAATAGTTTTGACTTATTCTTCTTGAACCTCCTTTAGGCGCCGTATACTGTATAGTACGATTTATTTTTAACTATTTGAGAAAGTTCAGTTTCTTACCTAAACAGCACTAAAGTTAAACTAGACTTTCCAGCACCGGTCCGCCCAACAATACCAACTTTTTCGCCTCCTTCAATCTGGATATTGAGCTTCTTGAGAACCAGATCTAAACCAGCCCTAAAGATAAAGGAATTTTTACTATTTTTGAGAATTGTTGAAATTGTTTTTTTTTTGCAAACTCAATCACAATTAGATTATATTACAAACCGTTTGTTGAAAATAGTTCAATACCTATCATTGAACATCTCAAGGTAGTGCATTTTTAGCTTGTTCATTTTAATCGAAAATCCTTTTATTCTCGAAAAAAATTACAATCAATCAAAAATGGCATCGATAATTTATTGTCGATTTTCGAGATATTTGTTCTGAAGCTTTTGTTTAAAAAACCGAATATCTACTTCAATTGTCCAACAGCTTTTTATGTTATTGTTTTAAACAAAATTTACTTGAGTCTCATATGCATATGCAACAATATTAACTAACCGGTATCTGACGCTGAGATCCTTAAACTCCAGCAATCCCTTTTCTGGCCATGACTTGCTTGGCTTTTTGCTGGGAATGTCCCATTCAGCTTCTCTGGGAATTTCCCCGTACTCCTTTATGCGTTCCACGGCCACAATTGTTGTCTCCACGTCGGAAATCATACGGACTAGAAAGTTGAGCGTATTTGTTATCTATGACAAAAAGATAAAATTACAAATTTGGCAACATACTTTGTTAAATTATACATCTTTATTCTTTCTAGTCTTTATAACATCATTATCATGACCCATGCATACTTTATGACGGCTGTCATCGTCTAATCTAGTCCCATGGATCCTGACATACATCTTAGGCATAGTCAAGACCACTTCACACTCCACTACCCTACATACTTGCTAACATATAATTCTTGCTACTCACGTTCATAGAATAACTGACAGATAATCCAACCAGTGCCGGATTAAGGCCTTTACCCAGAACGGCAAAAAGAGCGGCAAACAAAATAATTAGGTTACCAATCATTTCTAGGCGTATCGAGAGCCATCTGCTAGACGTATTGCTAGGATAGATTGTCTGTTGGTTTAAGTCCACCTTTTCTTCAGACACTTGTGTAAACCTGGAAAGAGATACATTTTATAATGAATAGGTAGTGGTTGAAAACATTAAAAAAAAAACACTTTCAAGCACAAGGCTGTATCTTGAAATGGTTCTTTGCCCCAATCAATTCTTACCGTTCCACTTGCGAAAATGCTCTAATAACAACTGTTCCAGAAACAGTTTCGCCAAAATGAGAATAAATCGGCGACCTAGATACAGATTCAATACGTCTGAGTTGCCGCGAAGTTGCCACATAGTATCTCTGAATAAATATGTAGAGAATCAGGAGGGGGACGATGACCACGATGAATAGCGGGGTGGTGAAGCAGATAACACCGATTGTACCAAGCACCTGTTGAAAGTAATTAAATTTGAACAATTTATTTCTGCAACCTATGGGCAGGTTTATTCGAGAGGCCTGCAGCCATCCCCTCTCTACTGCTGCTACGTTACACTCTAAGGCCTCATCGTGGCCACACGGGGCTTGGTCGTAAATCCGTTGGTATGCAACTACAATCCTATTCCTTGTGTAATATGGGTGCACACAATAAAGGAGATGATTAATTTTTGTGGCATACTGACTGGAGGAACTGGACGAAGTCATGGGTGCAGGAAAAACAAAACATGTTTGAGACGGCAACCTACCCTGAATGAATTCTGGAAAAAGACGTTGAAAGCCATTGGTAGCCTCAGATCAATACCAATAATATCGCTAGAAAATCGGCTCAAGATACGTCCAGATGGTGTGGTATCAAAAAAGGACATTGGCAAACGAAGCACGTTGTGTAGCATAAAGTTGTGCAATTTTGTTGCTGCTATCATTGTACCTAGGAAAGAAAGGTTGAAAACAAAAAATTATTATAAACTGTCAGAATTGAAAAGTTGTGGACAATTTACAAGTTTTATTGTATATTTGAAGTACCTGTAGCAAAAATAAGGGCCGCTGACAGTACAGTAACTGCTTGGCCCAGGCCTAAAGCACCATACACGCCCAAATACAAATCCCTTAGGCCAGTGTCCACTGTCCCATTAACAATCATGTCGGGATCTTCAGACCACATACCCAACCAGACATTAGTGGCGATACCAAAACCTAAAAAAAAAGTGAACATTTAAAATTCTTTATATACCTACATATTTGCATTATAATTAGGAAAAACTTGGTAAAAGGAAAATCTTGGACTTACCTTGAAATCCAGCACTGAAAATAATATTGCCAAAAATAAAGTACACCCCCACAGCTCCCAGATAGTATAAATAGACGCCAAACTGCACGTTTCCTTTTTCCGCCTTCTCTTCCTGTATCAGTTTGCCTTTACCTTCTTTCATTTTATCTCCAGCACCCCTATTGACACTAGTTTGCTTAGCTAAGCTAGCTTTCCTTCCTCCTGTCAATGTACTCAGCCTCCTCCTATGACCGCTCTTGTTACTGCGCAAACTTTCTCTGGACTCGCTACGACCGATTATGTTCAACTGCGAACCGATTGAACCCGATTCAGATAAATGCGATCTCTGTCGAGAAATAGTGCGCTTAATCTCGTGCGCCACGGCTGTATTGCACAACTGTTTTTCTAGCTCGTCCAGTTCCTCTTCGTCCTCGATCTCCTCAGTGATGTGGTGCATTAGGAACTCGGCGAAAGCGCCTTTTTTTTCGAGGAGCTCTTGATAGCTGCCTGATTCGGAGGCTTTACCCTCCTTAAGGACTATTATTTTATCAGTTTGAGGTAGGTAGGTGATGGCGTGAGTGACTAGGACCCGGGTTTTGTTTCGCAGAAGACCGTTGGGACCTAAAAACGGGGGTAAATGGATTATCCTACAAACTCTTAACACATTAAGAGATTAAGGGACAAATAATTATCACTCGATCTGAATTGAACTTTTTATTTTGAGATCTTGGATAGGATAACCCAACCTTTCAAATGATGGATATAAGCTATCTTATCACAAATCTGGAAACAAAAAATGGACCAAATATCAATATTTTGCTAGTTTTTGACATTTCCATCGTCTATTTCCTACCAATTTAGACGGGAATATCTCTTTCCTCCTACCACGACTTACCAATCAAATTGTCAAAAATATGTTTTCCTACATGGGAGTCGACAGCACTCAATGGATCATCGAGCAAGTATATATCGCAGTCGGAGTAAACCGCCCTGGCCAAACTGATGCGCTGTTTCTGACCTCCCGACAAGTTGATGCCCTTTTCGCCTATTTCGGTTTGATCGCCATTCGCTAACACTTTGAAGTCGGACTCAAGTGCGCACGCCTCAATTACTCGTCCGTACCTAAAATGAAATATAGGTAATGATTATTATTTGGCATATGATAAGTCGAAAATAATATCATAACAAACGGCTAAATTACATTTTTAGCACCTACTACTACACAGGTGTGATAAAATATTAGGGCTTACTTTAATTTGTCGAAAGTCTTTCCGAACGTAATATTATCCTGCACGGTGGCATTCTGGATCCATGCCTGTTGTGGAACATAGGCTATCGATCCCCATGTATTCACTCTGCCATTCATCTTATCCATTTCGCCCAAAATGGCGCTGATAAGACTACTCTTACCGGAGCCTACTGTTCCCACGACGGCTGTCAAGCTATTCATAGCCACCTCAAAATTAATATTTTTCAAAATAGCTTCGTCTTCACCCCATGAAAATGTCCCATTTTCCACTGAGATAGGGGCACCTTCTTTGGGATCATGACTGACATACGGTTCCAGATCTTCGGCATTCAAAAAGGAATTTATTCGGTTGACAGATACCCACGTCTGGACTACCTGATTTATAACATTCGGCAACATTGACATGGGCATGCGCAGCAAATTCAACAGAGCCAGCGAAACGAAGGCCTTGGACGGATCGAGAATGTTTTTTTCGTCCATTAGGACGTAAGTGGCGAATGTTAGGCAGGAGACCTGGAGGAATAATAATTATGTCTTTAGAGGATATCTAAAACAGCCGAAGAATGGGGTCAACTTTGAGCAAAAATCGATTAATCTTATTATGTGTAAATTTAGGAAACAAGGAAACTAACTGTCATAATTAAGGTGACAATAACGAAGTCTTCTGGAGAAGGTTACGTAATCGCAGAATTATGCTCAAGAAGCGATTGTTAGTAGGCTAGAAGAAAAGCGACTTGATCATGTGTTGGCATGTGTTAAATCTACAGAAATGTGTGAAAAATCAACCAATGCCCCTTGCAGCATTCTGGCCGAAATCAACTATTTAACCAAAAACTTAAACTTTCAGGACCCCTTCTTGACCTTTAACACAGACCGATTCGCTTCTCCAAGAAATCTTTGAAAATATGTATAATTAAAGATATTTTCAAAATTAGATAGGAGTCCTAAGTTTCCATAATAAATATAGTAGATTAAATTTTCAATCCCCCAAGCAAAGTGATATACCTATGCAAGTAAAATCTGAGTTTTCCATTTTCCCTCAGAAAAAGTTCTATGCGGGAAAAAAATGTTGGTTTCCATCTTGGGCAGGATTTTTTGGCTAAACAACAGTTTTGGTCCGAAGAAAGAAAAAAAAAAGCTGAAAAATTCTCACCATGAACGGAGCACAATTCCAAATAAACTGACTGAGCGCATTTAAATAGGCTGACGTGCGCAAAGTCTTGATTTCCTTATTCCGAATCGCCATGATTGCCTGCTCAAAACTCTTCTCCCACGCATACAATTTCAGCACTTTCATGCCGGCCAATACTTCGTTCATAACTTTGACGCGTTCGTCTTTGTTTTTCATTTGTTTCACTTGCAGCTTCCTTGATTGGTTCACGATTATTGTGTTGAGCGGAATGAGACTTACCATCACAGCGACACCTGGAAATTCAATTTGGCTCAGATCATATCAGGACTTATTCGAAATGGGCTGAGTATACCTTGAAGTAAATTATTTCAGTTTGGAATATGATAAGATAAGCTGAAAATGAAAAAACTATTCAAAAGACCAAAATTCAAAGTGACAGTTGACTGTGGAAAATGTTAAAAAAAAAGCAAATATAGTAGCGATATCAACAAAGTGTAGACAGAGTATAATAGACGGGTTCTTACCAGCAAAAACAGCGACGCCCAGTTCCTGATATAAAAAGAAAATTGCCAGTACAATACTAATCGGAGCTGACCACAACATGTTTACAAAAATCACCAATTCCTGAAACTTTTGCGCATCGTTTGACATTAAATTGACAATTTCCCCCACCGTTTTGTCTTTACGCGCCGCATTTGAGATGCGTAACGATTTACGATAGATAGCACTTGTTAGAATTGTGCGAACGTGCAGGCCAACTATGAAAAATCGGTCCATTTGCGTACTGTTGATGAACGTCATTACAGTGGCCACCAGGAACATGGTAGAGGCGTAAAGGATGCCTTTCCACACTGGTTCATCTGAGCCAATATACCCAATGATAAGGCTACAAATGAATAAACAAATAGAAAAAAGTTAGTTATGATGAAGACAGTGCTTGCCCTAATATTTTCGGATTTGCGAACTGAATGACATCACTTATCAAGCGTAATGCCACTCCCATTATAAATTGACGGCCTACGATGGTCCATAAAATCGGCATGACGGATGTTATTTCTTCTTTACCTCCTGCTTTGACGTTCCTGGAAAGTTTTTTTTTAAGCAAATTCAAATCAAACATCGCAAAAATAACAGATACTATAAGCTTGAAGTAGCTCAGTTTCAATCTATTCCAAGCTGGTTTAGTTCCGACAAAGACAATATTACCTCCGGTTTTTTTGAATTTTCTTGTCTAATCTTTCCTCGAACATCGGTACCAGGGCGCTACTTCTATCTTCGGGTTTCAGGTCCCACATATCCTTCATTTCTAATGGTTTGCGAAATCCCTTGAACATCATCGGCTCAAAATAGCTAAAGGTGAGCCGATTCAGGAAACTGGAACTCGGTTCAGGGCTTCCGTTCTGAAAAAACACGAATTGACAATATTAAAAATAAGTATAATCATTGAGAACTTATTGTTTATGACCGTCGGGCGTAATAGATATATGCAACATTGTTAAGCTTCAATAGTTATTGCAAAACCATTGACCAGCGTCTCCTCATTTATATAAATTTTCTGACAGGCACTTGTATAACCTATTTAAAAATATCAACTGTGTAGTAGGTAATTAGCAGTAGTGCCCAAAGTAAATGATCCTGTTGAAGAACTGTGAATATGCGTAGCTACACAGAGTATGTAATATATTTATGACTAATTGGAAAAAAATTAAGTATTTGACGCTTAAAAGATTATACTTATAACAAGTGTCTTACCTCTGCTTTTCCATATGGATAAATTTTTGGTATTCCTTCAGCAAAACAATTCAGCAACAACATACCAATAACAAGGGGATAATAAATCATGTAGGAGATGTATTCGTAGTGGTTCTCTTCATTGACAAGGCCACTTTGCGCCAAGCGGATTTGGGTTCGAAACTGTGGAGCGCCACAAAGGGCGGTGATAAGCCAAAACAGGAACAGAGTGCCCGAGGATTGAACACCGTACACTTTATTGCGATAAGCTTGGATGAAAACTAAGCTCTGGAAGAGAAACGAGTTTATTTTTTATAATCATTAGATGCTTTGATAAAAGCGGCGGTATTAAAGGGTTTAAGTCTAAAGGGGCACTTACAAAAGTCATAAACTTGCAAAGCGGCATAAAAATATCCACCTTGACCAATACATCACTTCCAGCACTTCTGATAACATCGCTCAAACACAAAGCACATATCAGCGCGTTCATCAACAGTTTACAGCTATTCTTCCAGTTCCATGGAATAAACTTGTTTGGACTGACTTTTTGATAGTACAGCTCTAGCGGCGAAAAAAACCATAAAAACAGACAAGGTATCCATACTAGAACTGTCTTTTCAAAACATGGAGTGAAGTCCGGATTGGTAGTGTCCCATGTTAGAGTTGTATTCTTGGAAGAAATAATTATGTTGGTAGGTACTTTGATTTAGGTTTGACGATCATTCAAGTGTTTTAAATAAATAAAATTGTAGAAATTTTGTTGTAATTAAAATTTCCCAACTGCCAACGGATGTTCTTTCTAGTAGTGCCTGAGTTAGGGGCAAAATATTTCATTTCCTCTTTACCGGCATTAATAGAATATGATTTTGGAGAATTTTTTACCGTTTATGTAACTCATTGGCGATTAATGTCAAATTTCTAGGACTATTGATACGTTACAGTCCAAATCTTACCCAAAACGGTGACCCACAAAATTTATCCAAAGCTTCATTATGAAAGAATGAAGCTATGACGTCCGATGGCGGTGAGGTTGTAAGGGGAAGGTCAGTGGAAGAGTTGTTACTCATGATAGTGGTTTTTGGTTGCTACCCTTTACTGAAAAAAAAAACTTGCGTTTAATTTTTGTTTTTTTCAAAGTCCTTTCAGGAAGAGCCCGAATTTGATAGTCTTAAGCTTGGAGAAATAATTTAAAATCGCCTCTATTCCAATGATTTTAATTTATCGCAAAAATAGAATTCAAAATGTTACGTGTATCATATTATGAGGAATATCTGCGGAAATCTCAAATCAATAATTTTGCTGATCTAACTTGCATTTCACCATTTTGACTAGAAAAAATTATTATTGCCTACAAAACTTTACATTCGTGTAGTATCAATTCAAGCGCAGCCGCCTGACGAGAGCGTTGATTGTATTATTTAAAAATATTTGTCTATGCTGAAGTACTTACTCTTAAATTATTTATTAATAATATGATTTCTTTTAAATTGAACGGCGGGTGAAACCGCGGACTACAGCAATAAAATTGTAGTGGGCTGCGATATCCAAAAAAAAAACTCAAAAATGTCCAGAGATAGTGGAGTTGGTACTTTTGTAAACTGCACACCAAAAATCTAATTGAATGACTTGACCCTTCCTTCAGTAAAAATAGAAATAGAAAATTGAAATACTAACTATGATTCATCCTGTTTATTTCCGCAGGTGGGCGGCAATGTGTTTCTAACTTTAAATTGAAAGGTAGCCTTCTACTCTCGACTCATCGTCCCAGTAGCTTTTCAATTACAGTCTTGCAAAAAGTGTCCAATAAATTGGAATGATATATAATTTTACATACATATTTTGATGATCAGAAAGACAAATCACAGATTCAATAAGTATGAAAAAATTTTAGAAACAGGCAATATGAGAGCACGATAGAAAACTTTTCTAATATCCAAATTTGATTTTCTTCAACCAACTGGACGGAAAAAACTCACTTTTTACGCAATGTAATAGATTTAATAGTCATCACTCACCAACAGAGAAATTAAATGTGCCATGTGCTTATGGCCTTCAAATCAATTTACTTATCAAAATAATAGCATTGAATATTTATTTATTTATCATTACGTTAAACGAGTTTACAGACCATTTACAATTGTTATTCATAAAATCCTAAAAATTCTTAACACATCCAGGTCAAAAAAGGCATATGTAAAGTATTAGGCAGTTGTGGTTGTTGGATAAACTGATATTCATATCAGTGGAACAAAAATTAATAAATTAAACTTTCATTATTAGTCTATACTTTGCTAATTTATATCGCAGCTATGGATGACTGAATGTGTTTATAATATTTATTGGTTTATAGTATTTATGTGGAGTGTGCATAAACAAGCGCGACTTCCATTTCAAAAACATTGTAGGTACTGTTTGTGCATGAATTTACTTACTATTGTGTAACATATTTGATGAGTCATAAGTCATATGTATTTTGTATGTTTCAAGATTCAGTTGCTGAAAGTGGGGCACATTTCAATTTACAGATTTTCAATGTATTCTGTGACAATGAAGGTGAATATCTAGCTACAGAAATGAGAGATTTTTGGTATGCAAAAAGATAAGTCATCATTTGACAATTCCATGAACCCCAGAAATTAAATGATGCAGCTATATAGAAAAAAAAAAGTTAGAGGCAGTTTTAACTGCAACATTCTCACTTAGTTTGACCCCTCTAAAACTTTAAAAGAATTTGAAACACCATACGAAATGTGGCGTAGTAAAAAGCCTCAAGTAAAATATTCATGAGTGTTTGGTTCCATAATACCGTTTATAAGTACATACAAACCAGGAAAACAAAATTTGATATCAAATCCTGGAAAGCTGTACTGGTTGGTTATGAACCAAATGAATACGAAGTGTGAGATGTAGATAATCATAAGTTTGTCCTAGTTAGGGGTATTATTGTGGACATAACAAATTGGTTTTTGTCCTCCAAGCCTATTAATCTGCATAAAGCTGATTCCTCTGACTATTTGTCAAGAACAGTAGTTAATAATAAGCTTGAAAAAGTGAATGTAGAACACTTTGATTATAAAGCTGATTCCTCTGACTATTTGTCAAGAACAGTAGTTAATCATAAACTTCAAAAAGTAAATGCAGAACACTTATGGTCATAAAGCTGATTCCTCTGACTTGTCGAGATCAGTAATTACTAACAAGCTTGAAAAAGTGAATAGAACACTTTATTTGTAAAAGCTGATTTCTCTGACTGTTTGTCAATATCAGTGGATAGTTAATGATGTTTGAAAAAGTGAATGCATAACACTTTGGTGATGAAACTGATTCCTTTGACAGTTTGCCAAGATTGCTGGTTAATAAATCTGATAAAGCAAAATCAGATGACCAACCAATCCAAGAAAGTAGCTAACTGTTAACCCACAAACTTATCAAACTATATAATGAATGATTATAGTAAATCTGTGGTTAAAACAGATCTGCCAAATGATATTCATTCAGTTTCCACTATAAAAAAAATAATTCCCAAAGTAGTTAAATTAAAATCCTCCATTGAATTGCATCCAATAAATTTGTTTTGCACTATGACAAAATTTTGGAGAAAATGGTGTATATGCAACTTATTGAGTTTATAGGTAGATAGAAATAAACTATTCAGTGATTTTCAATCAGGGTTTCGAGTAAGTCAATATTAGTAGTTGATAGTGATTATGAAAAAGTGAATTGTGAAACACTTGATGATTAAGCTGTTTCCTCTGATTGTTTGTCAAGATCAGTAGTTATTAATGAACTGGAACTGAACTAAACTGGAAAAGTGTCAAAAATTAATGTAACACTTTGGGTAATTATTAAATCTGATATGACTAAATCAGATGAGTAACAATTCAAGAAAGTAGGTAAATGTTTAACCCTAATAAACTCATTAAACTAAATAATGAGTTATAGTAAATCTCTGATTAAAACAGATCTGCCAAATGATATTGATTCACTCATTATTGGTAAATAAAACGTAGTCGTTAGGTATCAAGACCCGAATAATAAAAATATAGTGGATTGTAAATGGATATTTTCCATTGAAAATGATGAAATTGGAAAACCATTTTAGATGCTGGTGGTTTAAGTCAACATTACTTGGTAGATTATAATGAAATCTTTGCACAGGTGGCGAGAATCGTAGGTTTCTGGTTTATAATAACGTTTTTAATCAGTTTATCCTTTTGAAATACATCATATGGATGTAAAAACAGCTTTTCCGGATGGGACATTGAAGGAAGCCATTTTTATGAAGGTTCCTGAAGGCTCAAGGGTAGCTGGCTCAAGGTGTGACAAGTAAACCTCCTAACACAAGTTTGCAAGGTTTTGTATCTATGAACTAAAACAAACCACTAGATGTTAGTTTACAATAATAGTAAAAGTTCATAAAGAAAATGGGGTTTGAAAATTTCATTATTTTAACCACTGTATTTATATCTTAGACAAAGGTGCAATATGTAAAATTATTTATGTAGTTCTGTAGATTGTATTTGCCACTGCAGAGAATAATACATTGAATAGTTTAAAAGGGATTTGGCAAATAACTGTTTCTATGTTTTATTTGAAAGACAGTAAACTATTTTTGGGTAATAAAAGTTAAAAGGTAATCAAAAATAAAATTATCTACTCTTGATCAATTTTCATATAGGTACAGTTCAAATGTACATGAAAACTATTTTACATAAATTTAATATGAATGACTGTTGTGCCATCAGCTGTGTCAGCACTCCACTTCCTAGTAAACTGAATTTGATTGGTTTAAATTCAGAAGTAGAACATGATAGCCCTTGCCGGAATCTAATCGTCTGTTTAATGTATATTATGTTATGTATATCAAGCCTGATTTAAGTACCACTGTTAATATTTTGAGCAGGTATTAAAACCAAGAATAATAAAGAGTTTTGGCAATATTTGAAAAGGGTCCTTAGATATTTTAAGGGTAAAATCAATGTGAAGTTGACACAATATTTTACTTGTGAATGTATCAATTTCTTGAGTGATTCTATTAATCTTGACTAGGAAGGTGGAGATGATAATATAAACAATATAAAAAGCACATCAGGATATTTATTTAAACTGTTTGAAATTTGTGTGATATGTTGGAATACAAAAAGGCAGTTGTCAGTAACGGCATCATCTACTGAAGCCGAATATATGGTTTTTTCTTTTGAAGAGGAACTTTGGTTAAAATCATTAGCAGAAAATATGCATAAACATTAATATCAGAGTCAATTATGACCTAGGAGGACAACAATGGACCTCAATAAGTATTAAAAATAATCCAACAAATCACAAAAGATCAAATCATATTGAATCGATCGTAATTAATATAAAATATTAATTTGTCCACAGATAAACCACTAGCAGACATGTTTACCTAACCATTGATGCAAGTGAAATTTGAGAAATTAGAATGGAATTAGGATTGGTAAATAAGTTAAATGGTTTGATTAGGTTTTTCTGGGTTTTCCCTAATCCCGAGCAGCAAATGCTGGACCGTTATAGTAATTTTCCCGAGAAAAGACACACATAAAGAAAGCAGGCCTATTTATGTTATACTAGGTTTAAGTTGTATTACACTTTTAGTATAATTGATCAAATTTTTGAGGTGGCGTGTTGGATAAACTGATATATCAGTGGAACAAAAATTAATAAATTAAACTTTCATTATTAGTCTATACTTTGCTAATTTATATCGCAGCTATGGATGACTGAATCTGTTTATAATAGTTTTTATATATAAGATAAACAGATGAGGGAATCGTTTACTTAAGAAAGGGTTTGTAATTCTTTGTCTTGATGTTGAGTCAGTTCGTATAGTTATTTCTACGAGTTCACACGCTCTGCTTTCCACTCTGTGTTCGATATAATGAATATATTGAATATCGATAATTAACAAGTTCTTTTATTTCTTAGTCCATTTCCCAACAGTGGTTGCACTCTGAACGCCATTTTGTAAATAGATGATTGCAGAAAAGTTCTTTTTGAATAAAACACGAAGGCATCTTCTGTTGGCGGTAGATGTCTTTAAAAAAATTCGGGAATTCAATTAGTGCCACAAAGGG